TAGCCCTCCGCACCCAGCCTTTCTGGCCTTGGGAAAGGACCCTGGTCGGCTTGAGGCCTGAGCCGTCCAGCGACTGGCCCTTCCCCCCACCCCCAAACTCCCCACACTCTCAGGCAGGCCTTCCTCCTCCCCTGCAGAGACCAAAGAGCCTGTGAGCCCAGATGCATTCGCCCAGGGCTTTCCAACCCAGACCTGGCTTTGGCAGAACCTATGCCTAATCTTAGGGAGATTCATTTATTTCCCCGAGCTTCCCTGGCCTGACCTTGGTTTGGATGGGAGCTGACCTTGAAGCCCCCTTCTCCCTCCAGACTGTGCTTTCTTGGCAAGTCCCTGCTCAGCTTGTTCAACCAACAGTAAATCACCACTCCCACAGGATCCGAGCATGGCTGGCTTATGCTCCAAGGAGCTCGCTTCCATTCCATCATCTCTGTAAAGGATGCATCCTTCCACCTGGAAGCTAGGGCCAGAACAGAGGACCTATCAATGCTGTGTTGTGCTCAGGTGCAGGGCCCAGCTTGGGAGTCTGAGTGGCAGCCTCAAAGTCAGGGATGGGACAGGCCTTTAAGGTCATTCAAAGCAAATACCTCTCTACCCACATGTGCTCCCCCAGAGCCTTCTCAGCCACAGTGATGACAGTCTACCCCTTCCTGCTTAGGTTCTTGGCACTGAGGTTAAAAAGCCAGCCTTGCAGAGGGGTGGCTGGATGTTGGTCTGGGAGTCACAGCTTCTGCCATCACTCCATGCACATGGCCGAGACCTTTTGTGAGGCTCAGAGCACCCACTTGCCCAGCCCAAGTAAGGCTCTGAGTCCCTGCTGGAAAGATGAGGGAGGGCAGAGGTAGAGGAGGTAAATCGAGGCCTATGGACTGAGAGAGGCAGGTCCTCCAAAAACAAAGACAGTAATGAGTGAGTGGATGTAAACTGAGCACAATTCCTAATAAACTTTTCATATAGGAAAACCTAAGAGAGGAATTAGAAAAGAAGGAGCCTCTAGACAGGCTCTCACAAAGACATGCCCCAAGGAGCAGCCCTCTGAACAGAGGTGGGCACCATCCTCCTCTGGCAGTAACCACCCCCGCCCCGCCTGCCTCCTGTGTCCTGCACATGGTCCCCGGCCACAGCGACGCTGGAGTCCTTGATAATGACTCTCACCTTACCCATCATCCAGGAACAAATGTGTTCTGCTTTAGGAGAAGCCCGGTTCCCCAGTTCAGAGGTCAGGCAAGGGCAGGTCCTTGGAGACAAGCCCCGAGGAGTGAGCCTAATGAGAGTGGAGTGATTGGCAGAGTGAGGTCAGCTGGGGGAGGCCAGTGGGGGCACTCCTGCTTCCTGCCCAGCAAGGGGTGGGGGAGGGAGGGAGGCCCTGCCATGGGGATCAGGGGAGCCTGGGTCATTTGCGAAATTAAGAGAATTGACCCAGAGGGGAGGGAAGGGGCGAAGGTCAGCCACCCTAACAAGGAGGGCTGCCTCCTGAGGAGACCCCTGGGGCCCTGATTTCCCCTGAGTGCCTGATTGTGTCTTTACACACTCACATCAACAGGGGCTGAGGACAACCCCAATTAGCCTGGAGAACCTCATGCTCCAGGGTTTTCCACTGCACAGTTTCTTCCGGAAGCTCAGAGACAAGCTTGAAGCAGACCCCACCTCCTCCCTGTAGGAGCACCCCTGTGGGCGGGGGTAGGGAAGAGCAGAGACCCGCTGAGCCCCCTCCTGGAGCTGCATTTTTAACCAAAGCTGAGTTCCTCTTCCACAGAGCCCTTTTCTGGAGCTGCCAACCAAGCCAAGTGCCACCTCTCCAGCTTTGGCTCTCCTCTTCCTGAGGGCCATGCAGGCGAGCAGAGACAGGGCTGGGGTGGGCAGGAAGAGGTCAAGGAGGGGCGGTGGATGGGAGATATCTGATCTAACCTCACTTTGCAACCAGTGGGAAAAAGTGGCTTATCTGTGGTCACATGCACTCCCAGCCAGGCTCCGCGAAATGGAGATGGGAAGAGGCGGGTGGGGGCATTGGGAAAAGCAAGAGAAAAGACAGAGAAACTGGAAGAGAGGGATGATGGGGGAGGGGGGCCTCTGAATAGTCAAGGACTCCCAAGCTGACCTTCCACCTGCACCCACAACAGGGGACTGTGGGGCCTCTGTACTGAGTCAAACTGGTTTGTTCATTCAGAATGTTAGCAGGGGACCCTCCAAAGGAAAGAATGACAGGAGCCCTCAGCTGGTGCTACTGAGAGGGCTTGGCAACTGCTGTGGCCAGAGTGGCCAGACTTCAGAAGAGGTGCTGCTGCGCCCTCTGCCGGCCTCAGAGTGGCTATGCACACAGGCAGTGCCCCACCCTGAGCTTTCCTGGGCACCCCGGCTGAGCTGCCGTCACACACTGACCTCTGCACCCCTATAGGTCACAGACTAAGGACCTCCTCAAGCAAAAAGAGGCTCTCCTCTACTTTCAGCCTGCAAAGGCTGTTTGATGGAAGCAGATAGAGCATCAGTCCATCTAATATTTGGGTTGGCTGAGAGAAATGAGCACCTTGGCATTAACAGACAAGAAACTATTCAAAGCCCTAGGCTGCATGACCTTGGCAATCACACCTGGGCTCTGGGAGCCGGAGTTCACTTCCCTGTGGAACAAGAGTAACGTCCACTGCCGGACTGGAAGGGATTGTGGGAGATGCAATAGAGGAAGGTTGTAAAGCTTTTCAGCCCAGTGCAGACAAGTGACAGCTGCAGTAAATGGCTGTGCCCTTCTCTTTCAGTCCGACAAGAAGGAAATTCATGGCTAGGGCAGGCCTGGGGCACTGGATTTTCTGCCATGATCACTTCCTGAGTTTAAGTCTGCCATCTCACCTGTGGTTCAGGGGTGACTGGTGGGTCAGGCTGAGAGAGGGTGCTGGCATTGGGAACTAAAGATTCTAGGCCTTTTGTAGAATGTAGAGACTTGGCCCAAAGAGGATAAAGGTGAAGCCATGTCAGGCAGACATAAATTTGTATGTGCAGATTACAAATGCTAAGTGCTCCTGCTGCATTGAGGATGCAGTGCTGGGTTAGAGGGGATACCAAAAGCTTCATAGAAGAGATCAAAGGGCCCCACTCCCATCAAACAGCCTCTGCAGGCTGAAAGCTGGGCAAAGCCGCTCTCTACTCAGAGGCCCTCAGGTCTGTGGTCCATAGGGATGTGGGGGTCAGTGTGTGAGGGCAGTTCAGCCCAGGGCACCAGAGAAGCTCTGGCTGCTTTATTGACCAAGACTCCAAATGATGAAGGGTTTTAAGTTGAAGAAATGGTAGAAGGCAGAACCATGGAAATTGGTGGTGTTTTCAGGGACACAGATACTAGCTGATGCACCCAATATCAGGTGATGAGGCTGGAAAGGAAGCAGAGGTCAGAACATCATGCTCAGGGACCTGGTCCTTTTCCCACTGTCAACATCAGGCCAGGGATGTTTTAAGGCAGGGGTTTCGCTATCCAGCCTGTGTGTTAGGAAGCTGAAGTGGACACTTGCATGGAAGACCCATCATGGAGGAGGAGGGTGGAAGGACTCTAGCCTTGGCAAGAAGCGTGAACCAGAACCTCCTGTAAGATGGCAGGAAAGGGAGAGCATGGACAGCTGAGAGGGAAGCCAGGGAACACCAGGTCCTCTCTGTCTTTAAGCCAATGGGAACTGCAGCCTGGCCTGGCAGCCAAAGCAGTCGCACCCAATGGGGCAGCTGGGCTGGGAGCAGGACTGTCAGCCTCTGTGTTGCCCATCCACAGTGCTGGCCTTCAGATGGAGGAAGCGCAGCAGGCTGGCCACTGACAGCATCCCGGCCCCAGCCAGGGCTTCATGCTTAGGCACAATCATAGGATTCAACTCCTGGAGCCAGGAGCTGCCCTTCCTCCTCCCCTGATGTAGCCAGTAAGTCCTGACTTACTTGCTCTTGGCCTCCCATTTGTCACTGGCTGTCATCTCCAACTCCACCCCCTTGTGGTGTGTCCTTCTTCCTGATCTCACCCTGCTCTCATAGATTCGGCATTTTCATGGGGAGGTAAAGGGGTTGAACATGGACTGAGTGCCGTGGTTCACGCCTGTAATCCCAGCACTTTAAGAAGCCAAGGTGGGCAGATCACAAGGTCAGGAATTTGAGACCAGCCTGGCCAATATGGTGAAACCCGTCTCTACTAAAATATAAAAGTTAGCTGGATGTAGTAGTGTGCACCTGTAATCCCAGCTACTTGGGAGGCTGAGACAGGGAAATCGCTGGAACCTAGGAGGTGTAGGTTGCAGTGAGCTGAGATGGCGCCCCTGCACTCCAGCCTGGGCAACAGAGTGAGACTCCATCTCAAAAAAAGAGAAGACGTTGAACATAAAGATGGGCCAGTGCCAAGATAGTAGAGCAGAGCCCACGCTATCCCAGAGAAGCAACAAAGGACAGGTGACCCTACCTGTGTCTTTGGACAAGTAGGGTCAGAACTAGGGTGCAGAGAAATAGGCAGGGGCACATGCCTTGGGGAAGAGTTAGACCCTGGGGACTTGGAAGGGAAAGGAACCCCAGATGAAGAGAGAAGAGAGCCCCTCTCTGGCTCAGCCAGAAGGTACCATCCTAGCAAAGCTGCTGGAGTTAAAAGGAGGCAGGGACGGGAGGGAAGGTATGCAGTAGGTAAGCGACCAATGAGGGGTTCCTGCCCATGGTCCCACCCCACAGCCCAGGTTCCAGGTACAACTCTCAACCAGGGAGTGGTAGGTAGATCTCAAGCAAGTCACCTTCCCTTGCTGAACTTGCATTCCTCTAGGCGGGCCTCTCCCTCTAAGGGCCTTTCCTGCTCTGTGACCTGTAACTTGGGCCCTCCTGCAAGTTCACATAGCTGAGGGCAGGGGCCCACATGGCTGCCACCAAGGTCAGGTCCTCAGAGCTCAGTGTGAAAGGAACAGCCATCCCAGCCTCCAGACTAGCCATTCTCACCCACATCCTTGTGGGCCGACAGGCCCTGAGTCTGGTCCTCTCCTCGTCCTTTCTCTTATTTTGTCCTCTAGGGAGAACGGGGCATGCCAGGGATGCCAGGCAAGCATGGAGCCAAGGTACCTTCCCCTTCCCCACATTCAGGCAGCCCAAAGGTCCCGCCCCCTCTCTCCCAGGTCCAGGGACCCTCTGGAGTCCCAACTCTCTGGGCCTCCTTCTGCCTGTCCTGGCCCTCCCAGCTGCAGCACTGTGGTCTCTCATGAGTGCCCCCTGATGTAGGCAGCCTCCTCCTGTGCATCTCTTGGTCAGTAAAAGCCAGCCCAGGTACCCCAGCTCCACTGCAGTCCTAAAACCCAAGTGGAGAGGAAGGATCCTCCAAAATCACCTCCACTTGGGATTTGCTAAGTGGCACTTTGGGCATCATATATCCTTCAAAGTAGGTGGCCTTGGGCTGATATGGAAACAGGATTCACTCCAGCCACTCCCCAGTCTGTGAGGGCAGAGATGCACAGAGCTGGCTGTGAGGGTAATGTCAATCAAACACTGGGGCTGCTGTCCTTGGTGAAATCAGCCCTTTTACTTTGTCATCTAATTTCGCTTCTCTCCCATGACTTTCCATCCTCCTGCCCCCTCCCTTCCCATCTCCTCCTCCTCCTTTCATATTCCAATGAAGCTCCCCCTTCCAGCCCCATCTAGTGCCCCACACTCCCTGCTGTGCCACCCAGGAGAGGCTAGGAGCTGCTCAGGTGGTTGGGCAGCCCAGGGAGACCCGCAGGCTGAGCTGTACAAAGCCCCCTCCTCCAGACCCATTCTCAAGATGTCAGCTCAGCACCTGCACCTCCCAGGGCAGGCTTGGTGGTTGCAGGGTTGGGAGGAGTGAGTGAGTGGTCCTCCTTCCCATTTCACCATGGGGAGGCTGTCCACTGCTCTGCACCGCCCCCCCCCCCAACCCTGCTGTCCCCTCGCTGCAGAACATCTTCAGACCTTTTTTTTTCTGTCTTCCAGGGGACTCCTGGAATCGCTGTGGCTGGAATGAAGGTCAGTGGACTGTTGTAACCAACACAGCAAGGACAGGTGGGAGAGATGTGAGCGGTCAGAGCTGGGAATCGTAGGCTCAGTGGGGTAACTACCAGACCAAAGAGGGGGCAGGCAGGATTTGGAAACATTTTTCTCAAAGTAACATTTGTACCAGGTGCATAACCTTGAGCCACAGATGTGTAACTAAGCCTCACAAGTAAGTAGCGAAGGTTTCCTGCCTCGACTGAAGTTCTCACTAGCCTTCCAGTGCACCAAGGCAGCGGGAAGGCAGCCCAGATCTTTCCTTCATGTTCTGTAATTCAGCAGCTATATGTTTCCAAAGCTTCAGAGACAGCAGTTCTTCTCCAAACCCCCACCCTAACTGCCCATTTGGTTGGCCGGCAGATGTGAGGACTGCCTGGAAAAACAAGTGCTCAAAGTCGACCTTCACGGCAGGTCCACTTGCAGGGAGCACCATGTCCAAACCAAATACCCATTCCTTCCTCTCCTTCCTCCCGGGCTGCCTCACTTAATGCTCCCACCTGCCACACCCCTCACCTTGGGGAGGAGTAGGACCCTCTAAGGATCAGAAGCCTGATAGGCCTCCTTTGGCCTGGGGCCTGATGCCTGAACAGGGAAAAGCCAGGTCTGGCCAGATGTTTCACTAACTCTACCCTGACTCTCCCCTCGACAGCCAACAGGTGCCTTGCTCATTTGTCATTTCTTTCTGCTTTTACAGTCTCTCACATTTGTTTCTCTTTTTCCACACAGGGTGAGCCAGGGATCCCAGGAACCAAGGTACTGATGCAGGGAGATATTCCGAGCTGCACGGAGCATCAATCATGGGGCAGAGGTGGGAGGGGCTGTTGCTGTTTTGCTCTTAGTCCCTGTGAGGCTGGCCTGGGGCTGGGGACCTGGCTGAGCAGAGAAGGGCCCACTGGTCAGGAGCACACTGCAAATGCCTCCCCCTTCCTGGGTCCTGGCCTGCAGGCATGCCAGCTTCAGCAGGCAGTGACTCTTGTCCCCTGCACCTTCAGGGCTCCCTTTCTCTCTTGTGTGACAATAAGAGATGTGACAAGAAAAAAATTTCCACAGTCAAATAATTTTGAGAAATACTAGGTTAAAAATATTACACAGGTTTCTTTGCTGCAGACCTTCTCAGAACCTTTAATTTGCTAAACGTGCGTAGAGGAACTCTCGAAAGGAAATATCTTATGTGGCATTTTCAAAACTTTTTTGACCAGAACACCCTTTTTTAGAGAAGAGCTTAAGGGACAAGTATTCTGGAAATGCTGATCAATGATCACTGCCCATCCTACCCCTCACTCCCTGCCCCATCTTCTTCTTATCCCAAAGGGAGACCCAGGAGCAGAAGGGAAGCCGGGGCCCCCAGGTTTGCTGGGAAAAAGGGGGCAGAGGGTAGGATATCATGTATTTGAGCGTGTGCCCCCTCATCCTGGCTTGGCCAGTCCCCTGCTCCCTGTCCGTCCTCTGGCTGGTGTGTGGCTTGCAGCATGCTGTTGGTGCATGTGTCCTGGAATGAAGGGAGTGGTGGGACGGCCTGGCCAAGCTTCAGAAACCCACACTCAAGAGCATACCCACTCTCCTGGGGAGCCTTGATTACCCAGCAGAAAGCCCAGCAGAAGGAGGAAACTGCCTCCCTCCACTCCTGCTCCCCAAGGATCTCCATAGGTCAGGACCCAAATCCTTTCCTTCTCTGCCTGCCCTCCTTCTGAAGGATGCCCAGAATAAGCGCATCTACCACAGGAGCAGCCCAGGAAAGACAGGGCAGTAGGGGCTCCCTCCCACCGCCAGGACCTCTGCCTGGCCTTCCACAACACCTCCTGGCCAGCCTTGGGCCACTTTACCGTTCAGCTGCTACCGCGGGGCAGGTGGCAAGGAGGCAACACCCAAAGAGAGTTTGGCACCTTCTGTGGCTCCAGCTGGAATGTTCATTGAGACATCTGACCAAATTATAAGCCCAGAGCCCTCAGCCCACATTATTATACCGGAGAGCTGCCTCTCTCCAGGGCCAAGGGGAGCAAAGCTTCTTGTGCTGACCTGATACCCCCACCCTGCTGGTGGGGTGCTCTTGGGCTCTCACCTAATATTGGACACTGCTATGCACTGAATATGTCCCTCCCAGACCCATATGTTGAAGCCCTCGCCTTCAGTGTGCCTGTATTTAGATAGGGACTCGGGGAGTTGTTAAAGTTAAATGAGGCCATAAGAGTGAGGCCCTAATCCAATGGGATTGGCAGCCCTAGAAAAAGGGAGTGAGAGAGAGACCTTTGAAAGACGTTTCGTCTTGCCTGAGAACATGGCAAGAAGGCTGTCATCTTCAAGCCAGGAAGAGGGCTCTCACCAGAACCTGGCCATACTGGCTCCTGATCTCAGACCTCCAGCTTCCAGAACTGCAGGAAAATACATTTCTGCTGGCAAAGCCACCCGGACTATAGAGTTTGTTATGGCTACTGAGCTGACCAAGACAGATGCTGTGTGAAGCCTTTGTGTCCTAGAAGGTGGAGCATCAAGGAGACAGGGGCTCGACCCGCCTCTGCCACTGACTCAGTAAGGGGTTGGCCACATAACCTCTTGGGGCTTCCCTAGCCAAATCTGAGAAATGAGAATGGGGTTCAGTATCTCTAAGGGACTCTTTGATTTATGTTATGGGGAAAAAAAAGAGTTCTTCCATAGTGGAAGAAGCCGGGTAGGGAAGTGTTCTATTTTGCTAGGGCTGTGGTACCACAGGCTGAGTGGTTTGAGCAGCAGAAATTCATTGTCCCCTGGTTCTGGAAGCTGGAAGTCCAAAAGCAAGGTGTTAGCAGAGTGTGTTCTATCTGAGGTCCAAGGGGGAGATTGCTCTAGGCCTCTCTCCTGGCTTCTGGTGCCTGCTGCAGTCTTTGGCATTCCCTGGCTTATAGACACAGCACCCCAATCTCTGCCTCCATCTCCACATGGCATTTCCCTGTGTGCATGTCTGTGCCCAAATTTCTCCCTTTTATAAGGACATCAGCACGTTGGATAGGGTCTCACCCTACTCCAGTGACCTCATCCTAACTCATTACATTTGCAATGACCCTATGTCCAAATACAGTGAGCTAGTTATAGCTAGAGGCAGAGAGGGGGTGCCAGAAAAGACTGGGGGCCCTTAGTTGCTAAGCATTAAGAATCTAAAGAAGAGCAGAATGGTGAAAAGGAATTGCTTGCCCAGCCACTGGCATTCTGAACTGCTCACCTCTCCCAGGAGACCCCCAGGACGCACTAGATGCTTCTGGCCTTTGTTATGATCTGTGGCCCATGTCACTTCTCCCCAGCATGAGTGACAAGGGCCCGGGTCACATGGGAGTGAGGAAAGCAGTCATGCAGGTGTCACCAGTGCAAAGTGGCCCAGAGAAGTAGCCAGCTGGGATAGGGTCTAGGGGAAGGCAGAGCTCTTTGGAAAGCCAGCTAGGGCAGGGGCAGGGGGCAGGAGCAAGGGAAGGCAAGGCCCTAAGCCATGGAGCTGGTGGCTTCCCAAACCTGCTGCAGAAACTCTTCCTAACCCCCACTGTCTGCGTCTCCCTGCAGGGTGAGAAGGGGGCTGCAGGCTCCCCTGGGCTTCCTGGCCTCTTGGGGCAGAAGGTAGGTGTCACTCTGAATGGAGGGTTCAGGTTCTTTGTCACCCACATTCCATACACAGCCCTGCACATCCACACGAACCCCAGCATTGGATGTGTCTGTCTCCCAGACTGTGGGAAAAGCAGCTGGAACACAGCCAGATTCTGTTTGTCAGGGACTAGTGCCATAGGCAGGCCCTGATTGGCAAAAATGAAATGTAAAGAATTCGGTAGCGATGACCTGGTCAGAATTCTTGGTACCACTTCTGCAAATGCATCCCACAGTTCATGAGCTCTGTAGGATATTTCATTTAGAAAAAAATGTAAAACAATGAGGCCAAATAGGTTAGGGGAGGTGTGTATAATAAGATGGGCCCCTTGGAAAGTCACAGTGCCCCTCAGCCTGTTAGAGGCCTAAGCACCTGCACTGATGGGGTCTGCAAAGCCTTATTTAATGCTGCATTTCTTAACATAGTTTGGCCACCACTAACAATGTTCTTCCACATTTTGAATATTCTTAACCCACTGAGCAGTGTTCCGTGGAAAACACTTTGAGAACCACTGCTGCAGACCCAGCTGTGATGGGTCCTTTGTGTCAGCTCTAAACCTGTTGCCCTTCAGTAGACACTTCCAATCTCTCCTCAAATCCCACGGCTGCATAAGACCAGGCTGGGGTTCTGAAGGCCCCTGGTCCTCAGACATCCTGGGGCCCACAGCCCATAGTGTCCCTCAGGAGCTCAGTCTAGACCTTCCTCCACACCAGGGATGCTAACTTCACCTTCCACCCCCAGGGAGAGAAAGGCGATGCTGGCAACTCCATTGGAGGAGGCAGAGGGGAACCTGGCCCTCCAGGGCTCCCTGGGCCCCCAGGGCCAAAGGTGAGTGTTCCCGGGAGTCAGTGTTGGGAGGTGTTTGCCTGGGGCCTTTATCTTCAGCCTGTTCTCGGGGACTCTATGTCCTGGACATCCCGCCTTCTCTAGCCTTCCCCTGCTCCAGGTGTGTGGTTTTCCCCATGGATTCCAAGAAGGTCATTTGGACCCAGGTCCTGCTTCCAAGCAGATGGGGCAGATGGATGGTCCCATTGACTCAGATGACTCAGATGACTCTGATGTAGCTGAGCCCCGGCCCAATGGCTGCAGGCCCTCTATGGCTAAGCTGTAACTGAGTGAAGGATGGATGGCTGCAGGCCCTCGATGGCTAAGCTGTAACTAAGAGAGGAACCAATGGCTTCAGGGCCTTAGGACAGCCAAGAGGCCCCCCACTTGGCTCTGAGTAGGTTGCAGGTCAATTATCAGCTGAGCCTCATCTAGTGCCAGCACATCTGGTAGTGGTAGCAGTGGGGGCAGCTGCAAATGGGCACAGCCCTCAGTTTCCTTTTGCTGCTCGAAAAGTGCAATGGTAAGATTTGGATTTCACAGAGTAGATGCTTCCTATTGGTTTGCTTTAGCAGCACTGAGAAATGAAGGGGTCTCTTTGTCAGCTCAGAAGGAAAGCATGCATTACTCTACGCGATCTGGAGCAATACATTCGTGCATTCCACCCACACCCACCTGCCGTGGGCTGGGCTCTGCATGGGCATAGGAGGGCCTGGCAGGGCAGAGTGGACACCAGTAAAGGGCACAGAATGTGGGGAAGGAAAACGGGGGTGGGCTTCCAGAGGAAGTGAGATTCAGGCTGGGTCCAAGGGAGGGTAGGAGTCAGGGAGGTGGAACAGTGGGAGGTGCAGAAGCCATTGGGGAAGGCAACACCCAGGGCATGAGCAACAAGGCCATCTTTTCCCCCATAAGCAGCTGTCCAGGTGCCCAGCATGCCTTCATTCCAACTCTCTCTTCTCCCCAGGGAGAAGCAGGTGTCGATGGCCAGGTTGGCCCCCCAGGGCAGCAAGGAGACAAGGTACAGAGACACCCCCCTCCCACATTCCAGAGCTGCAAGATAGGGGTCAGCTTGGGAGGTCAAGAATCATCCCAGCCCACGCTAGGGCTAGCCCTCAGAGCACGTGACCCCTGGCTTCCCTATTTCCTGGTTGGCTTGAGCTTTAGAGAGCCATCCACTGAGACAGCAGCCGTGCAAAAGCCAGTCTAGGGATGGGACACTTGACCAGGAAGTGACACAGCGCTTCCTCAGCCACTGGTAAACGAGGTGCTCTCGCTTCTCTCCAGCTACTCCCTATGAAAGGCTGCAGCCTGCCTCATGAGTTCACAGTGACTGAAGCGCTGTGGCAGTGGAGGAGAAAGAGGGTGGGATACCCGGAGGTGGCAGTGGCCGCACGTCCCATGAGCAGGGTCATCAGGAGTCACACCAAAGGGTTCCTGTTTTGTTTATTTTTACTTTCTAACTTGTTTTTTGTCAATTGTCTTCAATTGTCCCAGAAAAATTGAAACTGCACTTGGTTTTTCACAAGTTACACCGCTTTTTCATTTATTCCCCATAGCTCTGTACTGTTTGCAACAGGAAGAAATCCTTCCACCCGCCCACTCTAGGAGGTGGGTGCTCATACACCCATGTCCTCCCGAGACCTTCCTGACCCTCCATGTCTCACTCAGCATTCTGGGTCTTTCACAAGTAGAGTGGGCAGTAAAAGGACCACGTGGGCTCTCGTTAGTAACTGACACTCAGACAATTGGCAAAAAGTTGCTGAGCCCTGGATACCTGAGCAGAATGGAATTAAAGAGAAGCACATGTCCCTGATCCCATGGAAGCAGCTGACTCAGGGGACTGGGGAAAAGTGAGAGAGACAAAGGGGAGTCACTAACAGCAAACACAGAACAGAAAAAAAGGTCACCGAGTCTGAACTGGGAGGCAGGCTAGAGGAGCTCAAAGGGAGAGAGGAGTGTAGGTGGGTGTTCTTGGGATGTCTCCTGAAGGGGCAGAACCTGCTCTTCTGTGGACTAAGAGCTAAGATGAGCCTCCTGGCCCTTATCACATGGCCTATCTGGGGACATCAGATTCTCTGTACCAACCTTATCCCCACTTTGCTCCAATTTTTCATGCAACAGGGGGAACCTGGAGCAGCAGGAGAACCGGGAGCAGCTGGAGAACCGGGAGCAGCTGGCCCCAAGGTATGTGCCTCTCCCCACTGGAGTCATAGCATGAACCAGCTGATAAATAAAAAATACTCTGAGACAGGTCTCAATTAATATTTAGAAATTTATTTTGCCAAGATTAAGGGCACGTGCCCAAGAGACAGGTACAGGTCTGTGCCTTTTGCCAAAGATGATTTAGAGGGCTTCAGCATTTAAAGGGGAAAAGCAGGCTGGAGGGGAAAGAGGAAGGGTATGGTAATCCGCACATGGCCAGGGAAAAGGAGCAAGTAGGGGAAGAGTCAGTTATGTATTGGCCTCATGCTCAGTAAAATAGCGCTTTACATGAGCTAAGGTGAGCATGGAACAGCGACCTGTGGGGATATTAGAACTTTATCTGTAGCTCTCTGCTTAGGAACAAAAGGAAAGGCAGCTTCTTGAATGACTCAGCTTTTAGCTGAACTTTTTCTCTTTTGCCAGAGTGAACTGGAGCCCTGAGTTTTTATCTTCCTTTCACAGGCTTGACCTTGGGGTGTTGAGGGGGAAGGAGGGTAAGAGCATCTGGCCCTCAGGTGGGAGGTCTGACTGGCAGCCTAGGTGGACTAAAACTTCCCGGGTCAGCCTGACCCAGACGTCTCACATGGAGTCGTCTCAATTTGTTCTGCAGTCCCTGAGCATCCTCTGAGAGTGTTCGGAATCCTCAGGGCCCCACTGGCTCTTCTGGGTCCACCTGTGTACAGCCTGGTGCGGCCAGTGTGGGCTGATAGAGAGCGGGCCACAGTTGCCCTCTCAGCCCTCCCGATTCAGGCCCTGGGTTGAGATCTCATTTGCCTTCTAGGGCTCCAAGGGAGAACCAGGAAAGGGAGAGATGGTGGATTACAATGGAAACATCAGTGAGGCTCTCCAGGTGAGCGGGGGTCCAGCCCCAAGGCCGAGATCCTCATGGACCTCAGGGCTCTGCACCATGCCCTGATCAGGGGCTGTTCCGCAAAGCGGAGTAGGGGCCCTGCCCTCAGGCCCTCAGGCAGCACTGCCAGGAGAGCCACTTCCTCTTCTTTGACCTCCCACTGTGTAGCCTCCTGGCAAATGGCCCCAGGTGGCTGGGCTCTCTGTCTGGGGCCAGCTGGCCAGTTATCCTGCCTCTGGGTACCTGAGAGCCACAGTGGAATTATCCTGGCACCCTGCAGGGTACAGCCCATCCAGGGTACTGGGGCCCCATTTCTTTAGTGCATGCCTAACCCCCTTTCACACAGCAGAAAATCTTCCTGGAACACATCTCCTTTAGTGGGAATTTAATCCTGTTTCAAGTTCATGAGCTCCCGCTCCCCACCCTTTAAAGCAGGGTTTCTCAGCCTTGGGGTTGACATGTGGGGCTGGAGAATCTTTGTGGTGGGAGGAGAGATGGTCCTGTATCTTGTGGGATGTGCAGCAGCATCCCTGGTATCTACCCACCAGATGCCAGTAGCACCCAGCCTCAGCTGTGACAACACACTGTGTCTCCAGACACGATCTATTGTCCCTTGGGAGAAGAAGTTGCCCCCACTCAAGAACCACTTCTTCAAAGGAGTCTGTGTCCATGTGTGACTCCATTTACAAGGTGTAAAATTCTCTTTGAAGGTCAACAGTCATCTCTCTGATCTATTTTTTGAGAGGCTCCGTATTTTGCTATACTGTGTCTATTTAAAGGGAGGTGCGTGGCAACCTTGAAATCTGGGTTCTGGGAGCAGAGGAAAGACCAAGGGGAGGTCCTCAGAAGGTGACTAGAAACAGTAAGAGCTGGTGCTTCCTTCGCTTTCAGTAAAGTGAAGTAAAGGTTGTAGTCCATTTAGGGCATACCCGAGTCCCTTGTAGGACAGCCTCGGAGTATAATCATGCTTAGGAGATGCTTCGTATTTTCTGTCCAGTGACTACAAACCTCAGTGAGAGGTGGGGGTGGGGTGAGTCTGGGGGCTGTGGAGCCTACCTGCAAGGGTCCCCCTCCTCCCGTGCTCCTTTGAGGGGCCCAGCCCCCATGTTTCCAGTGACTGTGCAGTGAGAACCAAACTTTACAGTTGGCTCTTGATTTGCTCTTCAACTGATTGTGTGGTGTTGGTTTCTTAGGAGATCCGGACGCTGGCCTTGATGGTAAGTCTCGCTCCTCCTGGATTTCCTTGAGCACTGGGCAGGGGACTGGGACGGCAGCTGGGAAGCAAGGACGTGAGTGCTTCCTTCAGAACGCAGACACTGGGCTGCAGATCATGGGTGACCGGACAGTGTTGGGGCAGACGATGATCTGAGCTGGAGGTGACAAGTCAGGACTGGTGGGAGGGCCTCGAGAGCTGCCCTGGTCATAATATAGTTCAATGACTCCAAATGAAGCTCATTGATTCCAGAACTATGTCGTTGATAGCAGTTTCTGAGATTGGGGTATCATACAAGCTGTGTTTGATATGCCCTGGGTCATGTCTGTCCTCTGTGTAAAGGCTTTTTACAATACAGCTGTGCTCTCTGGTGACAATACAAATGCTGGGTTTTGTTTACAGCTGTGTCAAGGAAATAGTAGTACAGAAGTGGAGGTTTTTAATGTTTTTCTTTTTTCCCAACTTTTATCTAATTTAAATCCATTACCCCAAAAAACTAGTATCAACCTTCCACCTATCCCCCTTTCCTGGAAATCAATTTCATTATCTGCACTTGGAAAACCAGGGAATTTCAAGCCTGGGTTTTGTACAGGTGCCTACCAGTGACAGGCTCTTGGTAAATATTTGTAGTTAAAATGACCACCACCAAGTTTAACTTGTAAGATGGAGGAGGAAAGATCATGAGGTTCTCTGACTACTGAAATTTCAATTCACCTAATATATTTTCATGGCTAAGAACCCCCGAACACACTTAGGGATGGCACAAACTCACAATCAAACACAACTTGTATGATACCCCAATCTCAGAAACTGCTGTCAATGACATGGTTCTGGAATCAATGAGCTTCATTTGGAGTCATTGAAATATATTATTTGGCAGGGGGCAGTGGCTTATGCCTGTAATCCCAGCACTTTGGGATGCTGAGGTGGGTGGATCACTTGAGGTCAGGAGTTCAAGACCAGCCTGGCCAACATGGTGAAACCCTGTCTCTACTAAAAATACAAAAATTAACCAGGCATGATGGCAGGTGCTGCAATCCCAGCTACTCAGGAGGCTGAGACACGAGAATCATTTGAACCCAGGAGGCAGAGCTTGCAGTGAGTTGAGATCGCACCACGGCACTCCAGCCTGGGTGACAGAGGAAGACTCTGTCTTAATAATGATGATAATGTGAAATCGCTATTGGAAATAAAACTTTCCCAGAAACATTTTTTCTTTTAAAATCAACCTTGAGGTGTAACTTATGCATAATAAAAGGTACTGATTTTAGGTGTAGAGTTTGATGAGTTTTGATAAGTGTAAATACCCAGGTATCCACCACCAATCACTCTAGAAAGTTCCTTCATATTTTGTGGGAGTCCTTCCCAGCCCCAGGTCACCACTGCTCTGCCATCACTTCTGTCACTGCAGATTAGATGTGTCTTTTGTCTCTTCTAGAGTTTCATATAACTGGAATCACATGGTAAGCAGTCTGCTGTGCCTTTGCTCAGCAGAGTGTGTATGAGATGCACCCGTGTCATCAGCACTTGGTTCTTTTTCTCTGCTGAGTAGTATTTCATTGTATGAATGTACCATGCATTCCCCTGTTGATGGACATTTGGGTTGTTTCCTGGAGACAGGTTTAAGTCATTATTCAGGAAGGTCAGACTTAACTTCTTGGAGCCCAAAGGGCCACCAGAGGTACCCTAGAGAGAAGGAGAGGGAATTGGGTGTGGCTCTCCAAACCCATCCCCACTTCAACCCAGTCACACTTGGTGCTTGTATGTTTTGCATTTTAGTTTTCCCCATGTTATTTTCTTTGCAAAAAATATGTTTCTATCACTGGAGAAATGCTTGAAAACAACTTATCTCTACAAGCCAGGCTTCACATAAAGCCCCCTGGGGACAGGCCGCCCTTCTCAGTGTGACAGTTCTTCCATGTGTCTTTCCCTTCTTTCCTAGGGGCCTCCTGGTCTTCCTGGGCAAATCGGCCCACCTGGAGCTCCAGGGATTCCAGGCCAGAAGGTAAATATTGTCTTGACAAAGGGCGTGTGAAGACCTTGCAAAGGCAGCGACCCCAGGGCTTCCCCTTGTCCTGCGACCATCTCACCTTCCCAGCACCGCCACCCTCCTGCTGCTCCAAGGCACCGAGGGCCCTGCCCACCCACCTCCCAGCCGCCGTGGCCCTTCTGTCCTCCCGTTGCCATCTAGCCTTCTGATGCCGTGGGGCCTGGGTCTAGACACACCCCTGCCCTTGCTTCAACCAGACCCACAGCAGGAGTCAGGGCGCCATCAGGGACCTCAGCATTTGAGTCTCTCCCCAACCCTCCTTCCTTGCTTCCTGTCCTTGCTTTCCTCTTACACTCTATCAACCTCTGTGTTTTTCTCAGAAGGGCTGTCCCTCTGTCTCCCATGCATGAGGTCCTCTCCCCTGAAAGTCTCTTTCCCCCTTCCCTTTCTTTCAAAGCCCTTCTCATCTTTCAAGCCCAATTCAAAGACCACCTCCTCCTTGAAGCCTCCCCTGATCGATCTATCAGACAGGATTCTCTGCCCTTTCCTCTGCTTCTCTGAGTAGGGGACCTACATCATTTTGCCACCTCCCTTAACTCTCCACCTGACCCAAAGAAGGGGCTTGGTGTGTGTGAAGAGGAAGGGAGCTCCTGTGGAGCAGCCAGGACAGGGGTTCTGCCTTCAGAGGAGACCTGAAGGCGAGAACCCTTCTGCATGTGAGCCAGGGAGCCCAGGGCCCTCAGAGGCAGTAGTGCAAGGTTGTGGCTAAACGTGGACATGGAGCTAGAGCACCTGGACTGGGATGCTGGCTCCCCAGTTCACTCACTGTGGGCCTCAGGCACATGGCTCTGTGCTTTGGGGTCCTGTCTGTAGAAGAGAGGCAATGCAAGTTAATACCTCCCAGCAACACGGTGAAAACTAAATGAGCAAACTCTATGGGGAAGGGACGCTGGGTGCTGAGAGGGACGCTGGGTGCACTAAGCAATGCATAACTGGTGGCTGCTATGGTCTCTGCCTGGAGAGTCACCTTTAGTTGTTCTGGCTACAGGGGGAGATTGGACTGCCAGGCCCTCCAGGACACGATGGGGAAAAGGTATGAACAGACATCCTCCAGTCAAAACACTGAAGACAGTCCTGGCCCTGGGGACAGGAAGGCTCTAGATCTGGCCCTGGTGTGAGCCCAATGGGCAAGGGGAGATGGGAAGGGGTGGGGAGAGGGGCCCACCCTGCAAGCCCCAGGAGGAGCCAGGCAGATTCCGGCTGGGCTCTCTGTGCCCGCCCCCATCAAACACCAAAGAGCCAAGGCCTTTGGACTTTTCTATTCTCTCTCCCTCTCTTCTCTTTTCTCCATTAATGTGTCTAAGAAGCATTGTTGGTATTTTCTAAAGGGACCTCGCGGTAAACCAGGAGACATGGGCCCTCCTGGTCCCCAAGGCCCCCCAGGAAAGAATGGACCTCCAGGAATGAAGGGAGAAAACGGGAACCCAGGGAGCCCAGGAGAGAAGGGGGAGAAAGGGGAGACAGGACAAGCAGGCTTGCCGGTGAGTGGCAGGGCTGACTGCCCTTCCGTGTACACACCACTCCCAAGCATGACCCCAGCTTTGCCAGGCTTTGCACTTTGCATGGTGCCAGCCAGTGGCTGCCTGGACTAGAAACCTGGGGCCAGGACTTAAGGGTGGGGGATTCACTCGGCTTTCCCTCAAGTCACTCACTTTGTGAAGGCCCGGTTCCCGACTCAGGAGACCTGAGTCCTGCTCTGTCATCTGTATCCTTGGGAAATCCACTGAGCCTTGCAGAGCCCCATTTCCTCGTCTCTAAAACAGCGATAATAATGTCTTCCCTGGATATCTCACTGACTTGTTGGGAAAGAGATCAAGTCATGGTTTAAAGCTGCCTCTTCGGAAAGTGTACAGAAGCCCTATACCCAGGAGAGGTTGCATGTACAGAAACGGGGCCTTCACCCAGTCCACTAAGCTGCCCACTTGACTTGGGAGCCTTCTCTGGGTCTCAGTGGTTTCCATCTGTGAAATGGGTGCCATCTTAGACACCTACCCTTGGAGCAAGAGAGCCACATCATGTGCATGCCACAGTTGGTCACAGACACTCAGCAAGGCCACCGTGAGCTCCACTAACAGAGATTGTTGCCAATCTGTAGGGTCTACACCTCCCAACTGGGGAAAAAAGGAGAACTTGATGGTCAAGGCAGACCCAGAGTGGCAGGATTGCCTAATCCACCTGGGCCCCTGGGGTTTACAGTGAGGCCAGAGGGCTAGGTGTCCAGGTTGTCTGCAGGCAGCCACAGATGAGGGTCATCCCTGGGGCCGCCAGCCTAGCGGGTGCCTGGCACTGTGACAAGGCTGCCCTAACCCCAATCCTGGCTACCCAGCCTGGGTTAAGGGGGATCCTCTTAAACATGGATCTGCTACTGCATTTGAGTGTGAACAGAGGTTGCAGCTTCCTTGACTCACAGTCTGATGGCCTCTAGAAGCACCAACCTATTTTGAAGTTGCTAGAATCTTAGGCTCAGAATTCTCCTCTAGGAAGTGGAAAGAGCCTCAGAAGTCAACCAGTCCCAAGTCTGACCCAGTGCAGGACTCCCTCACTCAGCTGGCACAAGCAAGCAGCTCCCTGCCTCCCGACCTGTCCACTGCACCGTGGGGCAGCCCCAGGATGGAGAGGGCGCTCCTGGATGTGGTGTGGAAGCTCCCTTGTCAGCCTCCCCGAGTTGACCCCTCAGAAGCTCTGGCCTCTGGAGCCATATTCATTATCTACTGCTGCATAACTAATCACTGCAAAGGTAGCAGCTTAAAACAATACACATTCATTGGCACACAGTTTCTGTGGGTCAGGAGTTCAGGCACATTCAAGTTGGGTCCCCTGCCTGTGGTCTCATGAGACAATTATTTGACAATTAATGAGTCAGCCAACTGCATTCTCATCTGGAGCTAGGGATCCCCTTCCAAGCTCACTGGCACTGACAGAATCCAGTTCCTTGCTGGAACAGAACGCACCTCCTAGAGGCCACCTACAGTTTCTGCCACATGCACCCCACCCCAACCGCCAGCACAGTACACAGTTCATAGTATAGCAACCGGCTTCTTCAAGGCCAAGGCCAGCGGGAAGGTCTCTCTAGCGTCTAGTGTTAGCAAGGCAGAGCTGTGTGCATGTGTGTTTGTGTGTTCATGTAACATAATCTTCAAATATATGTCACCATCTGTATGTCACATATACTGTAATCTGTGGCATCATCATAGAAGTGAGGTCCCTCACTTTTGTCATGTGCCTTACTCCAGGGCCAAGAAACAAGTCACAGGTCGCCCTAAGGCCTGTCCACTGCAGAGTCCATAGAGAGTATCAGCCTCTCCTCCCCTGTACTAGAGCCTCAGATTCTTCAAGATACTGATGATAGTCCCTGCCCAGTCTTCTATCCCACAGGCTGACACCTCACATCATCCACAGTGTTCCTTGCTGACACCTAGGCTAGTCGAGTCCCAGTCTAGTTTGTCACAGATTTGAGGGTGCATCTGTGCCCAGGCTTTCCCAAGGGCTGGCATTCATGCAGTGGTGTTTTGTGCCCACAGGGAGAGAAAGGAGAAGCCGGGGAGAAGGGCAATCCAGGAGCAGAGGTACATGGGACATAATTTGACAGAGACTCATCAAATGACAGTCTCTGCAGAATGCACAGTATTTCTGTGCTTTAGAATGCAGCTTGCAAGTGCCTGACATTCACGTTTACTGAGCACTGCTGTGGGTCAGGCACTGAGCCTTGGGACTGCTCCAATCTTCCCGTTAACCACGTCTCTCACTAACCTTCACAGGGTATCTCCCATGCTTCCATCCTGGTGCTAGAGGCTGGAGATATAAAAATAAAGAGAACTTGCCAGACACGGTGCCTCACGCCTGTAATCCCAGCACTTCAGGAGGCTGAGGCGGGCAAATCCACCTGAGGTCAGGAGTTTGAGACCAGCCTGGCCAACATGGTGAAACCCTGTCTCTACTAAAAATACAAAATTAGTCAGGCATGGTGGTGGGCACCTGTAATCCCAGCTACTTGGGAGGCTGAGGCAGGAGAACTGCTTGAACCCAGGGGGCAAAGGTTGCAGTGAGCCAGGATTGCGCCACTGCACTCCAGCACGGGCAACAGAGTGAGACTCTGCCTCAAAAGAAACAAAAAAGAAAATAAAAAGAAAGAAAATAAACAGAACCATCCCTCCACAGCTCACAGTACCCTGTAATGGGCACTAGCATAGGAGCAACTTAGGGAACCAGGCAAGCATCCCAAAAGAAGTCTACGTGGGCAGGGTCTTGATCACTTTGCGGGAGTTTGCCACAGAGTTTCAGAGGTAGGCTTTCCAGATAGAGAGGGACTATTCTTTTGAGAAGAAGTGAGGTGGTCAAAGGAAGAGAAGACAGAACAGCTAAGTAAGAATCAGCCAGGATGGAGGCAAGGTTTTCAAAAGACAGCAGAGAATCAGCCATATTTGTAGGCTTAGGGGCAAGAACCAAGAAAGCAACAGAGATCAATGATGCATGCAACGCAGGATGTTTGATGGAAGGGTCTGGGCACCTAAGTAGCACCTCAGACCCATGGGAGAGACCCCAAACCTTCTCAGTCCCCAGCAGGGTGGTTCACCTTGCCACGCCCTGTCTGAATTTAGTGAAACAGACCTGATACTTGTACAACGTGGATGGTACTTGTTTAGAAATGGATAGCCTCCTAAAGAAACGATTTACATCCAGGAACAGCGTTATACGCACACTGTCCCTCCCAGAAGTATTTAAAATAAAAATTAGAAACAGCCTACATTTCTATCAAGAAGGAAAGGATTAAATAATGTATGGTAATAATAGTCACCACGTCCGAGCACTTTTCCTACGTCCTGGCTGTAACGACTCATTTTCATTCCACTCAATGAATAGCACAGCACCATTACCAGGAAGCTGGTGGGGAACATGTAAAAGAAAAAAAAACGGAAAAAATCGGTTTCACATCAAGTGAAAAAGAGTAGAAAACCAAATTTTGTATATATTTGAAATCATAAGCATATACATATATGTATATATAATTATATGCATATTATATATGAATATCAAAAGTATATACATATATTCAAGCCCTTCTGATACACCAAAAAATTGTTTAAATATCTGAAACCTTTTTATTATTTTAAAATTACCACACAGGTAAAACTGACTTCTTCAGGAGTGTGGCCAGTTCTGTGTATGAGAATACATGTAGAGATTTGTATAACCAATACCATAATTAGGATCTGTAAACCACTTATTTATAATAAGAATTAAAATGGTAAACTTTTATTAAAAATGATAAGCTTTTGTTTAAGAAGGAAGAGCTTCCAAAGATTGTGTTCCCCACAAGGAGACTGTGATGGAGCAGAAAAGTCCACAGGTCCAGGAAATAATAGGGGCCTCCTCTCTGCCCAGTGTAGGGGTGCCCTCTGTCATGACCTGCCAGGGGAGTCACTGCCCTGGCCACACTCCAGGGAATGCTACCCCTGGGAAGACGAGGCACCCAAGGAGAGCCCTGAAGCCGAGGTGAGGTGAACAGCTCAGAAGGAGCCGGCAATGGCCACCTGTGGACAAATGGATGTCTGTGTTCATCAGAGACAGAACACGGTCTAGGCAATGGGCACTGCCCTCCATAGAGGAGACAGCCTGAGCTCCTCCATCCTCACTGTCCAGTCAGAATCTCCTCTACTACAATCTGCATCTGCTCAAGGGAAACAGAGGCCAGCAGTCCCCATCTTGTCTGTGACAAACCTTGGGTACTTGAGGGATAATCATCAGGAATACTTGAGTCTTCCCACTTTCCAGATCACCAATCTCTGCTTCTCTAAGCCAAGAGTCTCAAGTTCAAATGTCTACAAGGGCCAGGCATGCAACAAATGACTGCAAGAGCTCTGGGTCAAAGACAATAGGGAATGGTGGGTACTGTGGTAAACTGAAGATGTCATGCCCCACCTAGAGGGGAAAGCTCTTATTCCACTCCAGGCAATTGTTGCAATGTGTGAACAAGAGCCTGGTGCTGCTAGATCTTCTGGGTTGTTGTTGTTTCCAAGAAAAATCTGGAAGAATAGATCTTTAGGAAAATTTCCTGGGAATTTTTTTTTTCAACACTGAGCAGGCAACCAGTTTGCTATGAGATTTTAACCTGTTCTGAGCCTTTTTGGGGGGATGCTGTGCTGGGCACTCACTGGCTGACCTCCAGTAGGCAGCCATGTCCTCCTCTGGCCTTGCAGCCTCCAGCTGGACCCCAGTCCCTGTCAGGAGGGAGGGCCACTTCAAGTGTAACAGGGCTCCCTTTTGGCTTCTAGGTTCCTGGGCCACCAGGGCCAGAGGGGCCCCCTGGACCTCCGGTAAGTTTGGAGGGTTTCTCAGTGGTCAGTCCACTAACGTCCCCTCTCCATGGCAGTCACTGGACTCAACCTCAGCCTTAGTCACTATCACTTCTTCCTCCCAGGGAGGGATTTTCTGGTCTACAAACCCTTCCCCACTCCTCTTCCCTCCCATGTTAAATAGCAGCATCCTAGGGGCACCAAGGACCCCAGGCATTGCTTGGTTTCCTGGAAAGAGCCGACTGGTAGGGCAGCCCCAGGGTCCCTTGTCTTTAAGCTCTGTCCAACATTTACCTCACCCTTTGCCATTAAACATCTGCTTCTCCCATTCCTTTTTTCAAAGTGACCCATTGGCCTAGCACAGTGGCTCATGCATGTGATACCAATCTGGCACTCTGGGAGGCCAAGGCAGGTGGATCGTTTGAGTCCAAAAGCTTGAGACCAGCCTGGGCAACATAGTGAAACCCTGTCTCCACTAAAAATACAAAAAATTAGCTGGGAGTGGTGGCACACCTCTGTAATCCCAGCTACTCAGGAGGCTAAGGTGGGAGAATCACCTGGACCCTGGAGGTTGAGGCTGCAGTGAGCCAAGATCACACCACTGCACTCCAAGCACTCCAAATCTGGGCAAGCAGAGTGAGACCCTGAAAAGAAGAAAGAAAGGGAGAAAAAGAAAAAGAAGAAAGAAAAGAAAAAGGAAGGAAGGAGAAAGAAAGAGAGGGAAAGAGAGAGAAAGTGATCCAGCCCCACTGGATTGGAAAGAAAGAGGAAAGAGAGAAGAGGGAAAGAAAGAAAGAGAGAAAGAAGAAAGGAAGGAAGGAAGGGAGGGAAAGAGAGAGAGAGAGAGAGAGAAAGTGATCCAGCCCCAGTGGATTGGCTTTCCTTGGCTACAGAAATGAAACCATGGGACCCCTGTGCATTGCCCCTAGAGGGCCCCCAAGCACCCTGAAGCAATAGATGCTGATCCACACCTCTGCGTGGTTCGTGGTCCCCAGGGTGCTGTGTGTCCTCTATTGTGGACGGTAGAAGTAGCAGCAGGAATGGCAGTAGCCAAAGTTTACTGAAACTTACTGGATGCCAGACACTGTTCCAAGCACTTTGCATGTATTAATTTAACATTTTCTGTGTTACATCTGCATCTTCCTTTCACGAGACTGGGTCAACCATGGGGACCACAGAGAGATTTTCTGTGAGCCCCTGGCTGGGGAGGACTGGCTCAGACGACTCCCCCGGAAGCCCCAAGCATAACCCCACTTAGCATTTCCTTCTACCTCTCATGGGCAGGGACCCCAAACCACACTCTGTACCCAGAACCCTTGCTCTTCTGTGGCCCATTTGTGGACAAGGCAGTTGTGTTAACTAGAAATGCAGTTCTAATGCACGTTGTTTTATTCCAAATGCAGGGGCTTCAAGGTGCTCCTGGACCAAAGGTAAGGAGAAGTCATGTGACAGGCGCTGCCTCAGTGCTAGTAGCAAAGAGGGAAAGTGCACCTGAGACCAGCTGACCCTTTTTCCTAAAAGGCATCATGTGACACTCCAGCCAAGGGGGTCTGGTCAGGGCAGATGAAGTCCTAGGTTCCCTTTAGCATCTATCATTGACACGTGGTGTGCTTTGGCTTCAGAAGTTTCTCATACGTCACTCCACAAAGTGACAGGTTAGATTTTTAGCCAATGGTTAAAATCCTTTTCCCATTAAACCTGCCCCAGCCCCTTCACTCATGCTGAGTGTAGGTGGGAGAGAGACAGAAACAGGGTGGGACCCCTCCCCAGGTCAAGCTTGGGGGGACTCTGCACTGGGCTCTCCTGGTCTCACCTCAAGCATTTCAAATGGATGAGGGGGCTGGAGGCTGTCAGTATGACAATGGCCCTTTCCTCATGGCCTGGTATTTAAGAGACTGCTGGGCTAGGCTATGAGCCTCAGGGCTCTGGTGGTAGAATCACAGGCATCTGCCAGCAAGTTTCTGTAAGGTTCCCGTTCTCCTGCCATGCAGATGGGCACCTGGGCCAAACCCTGACCTGTAGGTTTGTCCCTACGCCACCTAGGTATTCTTTTCCCTGTGAGGCTCTCAAAGCTCCCACAGGATACAGGGGCTACTAATTGAGGTGGGAGTAGGCTAAGAAATCAGGGATTCTTGGTATAGCTGGCCCACCACCTCTGGCTCCTCCCTCCTCTACAAATGCCACCCCAGTCTTCAGGATCCCAGAATGCAAGAATGAGTTGTCTGGGACATGCCCTTGTGTGATCTCTTCCCCTCTCCCTTTCCTCCAGGGGGAAGCAGGACTAGATGGAGCAAAAGGAGAGAAAGGTGTCCAGGGAGAAAAAGGAGACCGTGGTCCCCTGGGACTACCCGTAAGTACCTCCGACCCAGCAAGACTGGAGGGTTTGATGGGCCAGGGGTGTCGGCTGGGACCAGGAGACAGCCACTGGAATGCTAAGGCTCCAGAGTCTGAGCATCCAGAGCTCCATGTGGTTTGGCTTTCCCACCTGGGCAAGACCCCAGGCTCTGATTCTCTTTCTCCTCTGGGCCAAGCCCACCTGGTGCTGGGGAAAGAAAGAAGACAGGCTCCCCTACCCCAAGGGGTATTAAGATAGGGGGCTGGAAGTGGCCTGAGAATAGCCTCAGGCCCTGCTTAAGCCTGGTTTAGAGGTAATCAAAGCCTGCTGCCTTTATGGGGGCCAAGTTTGGAGGGTTTGGATGCAGTGGGACAAGGAGATGGTCTCCATGACAGTCCATTTTCCCAGAGGGACCCCAAGAGAACTCCTGCTCTCTGCTCTTAAGCACCCATCATAGCAGAAAGGCACAAAGTCAGACTTTGTGGTCCCAGTAGGCCAAGGCCATTCATCTCCTGGGTTCCTGGAGATCTCTGATTTCAGCCTGCCCAGAGCAAGAGGCCCCAAGTCAGAGGTGGGGAGATGCTCAGAAGGTGTTCGCATGTCCTGATATGGGTCTAGGCTGAATAGGGCTGATGGCCTCTTCACCACCTCACCTGTGTGCAGGTCAGCACATCCCACCACCCTCCCTGGAGCCTGGGTTCCATGTCCCCTAACTCTGCACTGAGGTGGGCATTCTTCTGGTTTTGTTTTCAAGAGCTGGAAGGGATGTTAGTGATCCATCTCATCATTTCACTGATGGTCAGAGAAGACAGTGGGTCACTGGAGGTCACATACAAAGTTGGCGGCCAAGCCAGAGGCTGCTTTGAGGCCAAGGCCTTGCAAAGCAGCTCCTTCCAGCCACTCAGGCTTACTTTGTCCTGGGCTCAAGGCCAGCTCCCACCCCAGGTAGCCATAAAGTGTAGAGAAACAATGGGAAGCCCAGTTACCCCCGCTTGGCAGTGCTTGAAGGCCTGGTTAATACAATTACAGCAACCAAACAGCAAATGCAAGAGGTATAATTATACCCTCATGAATACATTCGAGGTAGGAATATTTAAGAAGCCGATTTGCTTGACAGACTACAGAAAACAGAGGACTTTAGTGGGCATTTCCTGCTGTATTCAGAATGATTAAGTGCTCTTTACTATTAAAGAGGCTTCCTGCCCCACTCAACCACAAACCTCTCTTCACCCACACTTTGGTTTTTGTCAGGGCCCCAACAACCTTGATGAACACTGGAAAATTCAGTCAGGGGTTGAAATGCAAAAGGAACAGAGACCAAACAGGAAACATTAATATAAACAAGGAAAGTGCCAGAAGAAAGACAAAGTACCTAGTCTATCATTAATTTTTCCCACTTTTAATAGAGGCATGGAGAGAAATCATTTTTTTTTTAGTTTAAGTAAACAACAGAACAAGCATATTCATACAAGACAACTAACGCAAGCCTGAGGGACACACTAGGGAGTGGAGGGGACTGTGATGCACTAGAGAGATCACGTATCCTTCTTAAGGGGAGCCGTCCCTTCTTAGCCCAGCTGACTGTTGCCTTGGAGGAAGGCGGAGCTGGTATTTCTGGGTCTTCCTATTTTTCAAAGGAAGCTGAACATCTGGTGTTTTATGTAAAATCTTTCCATTTTCTAACATTAGATCAAAATTATTTGCAACACTGCAGACCGTACAAATATGTCAGTGGCCCACATATGGCCTGAGAGCCTCTAATTCATGTCTTCTGCTCCAGACCTCTCAAGACAACTGAGATTTAATGCTGCATTTGTTAAATGTACATGGATATTTAGCTATAATTCTGCTTCCAGGCTTCCCCTGGATATTTTATTCTACATAGTAGCAGCCTGTTTCTCCAGGTACATCCTGGAGTGCTCCCCCATTTGCCCTGCAGAAGTGGTTCTCAATGCTGGCTGCACACTGGAATCCCCTGGGAGACTTTAAAACTTACCATCACCCCAAGTTCACTCTTGGAGATATGATTGAATCAGGCTGGGAGAGGGTGGGACCCAGGCATCTGTTTTACTTAACATTGCCCCCAGGAGATTCTAATGTACAGCCAGGGCTGAGAACCACAGCTCTCTCGCCCAGTGAGTCAAGGTCAGGCCTAGAATCGTATGGTCCTAAATCTGAGAAGAGTCCCTGCAGAGTCCTTCTACCCAACACCTTTTCCATGAGGAAGCAGTTCGTTGCCTCCCTCTTCCAGGGACTTCCCTCTGCGTTTGAAATCCTGAGGCTGAGGCTCAGTTGGAAGCAGTTTGCAAACACTCAGTCCTCATCTGGCCAGAGTACTGCTGCTGCCTTCTCCATTACTTGTCACATTGGAATCATTAAAAGAGGGTCCATAGGTTTTCCTGGGTGAGTTTCAGAGGCAGCCTAATAACCCAGGGATGGAGCAGGAGCCCCCCCAACCCCCCCCACCACTGCTCTGCAGTGTTTCACTGGACAGCAAGAGCAAATGAGGGTGCTGATAGCAGGTGGGTCTCAGTAGCTTCCCACCTGCTACCCATTTGCTCCGGGGAATACATAGCCTTAGACTCTGTCCCAGTCCGCTGCCTCCAAAGCGTTTTCCTACACAACAGCCCTTGTCTGGGAGCATATGAATGGATCGAGTTTGGGTTGAGCCTCTCAGATCGTAAAGTGCCAGAGAAATGTCAGGTGTCATTTGTAATATCATCTAAGGCCCAACTCATTCCCCCAGGCTGAAGGATAAACAAACCAACTTCTACCCAGATTTCACAACTGGGTGCTGTCACACAGGCTGAGATCCTCAGGAGCACCCCAGCATGGCCTGGTCCGAACAGGAATGCAAAGTAGCTAGGAGAACTGTCCTCACCTGGGGCCCCTCCCCAGTGAAAGATGGGCACACAGCTCTGATTCCAAGACATCTCTCCAAGTGTTCCTTTCTGTACCCCTTTCTGCACAACACTGAAGGGAGAGGGGTTTCTGAGAGGGAATGAAGGGAGAGAGGATAAACAGAGGCAGGAGGAGCAAGTGGCCATCTGCACTGCCCTCCACCCAGCCTGCTCACGGCCGGCCACTGCCTTCAGTGTCTCCACTGTGTTTTCGTTGGTTTCCATGTAAATACCATCCCCTGTCCTCCCAAGCTTATTTCTCCGGTTGTGTTTGATTACCAGCATTTATGTCTGTCCAGAGTCACTGCTTTACTCACCTCTTCCCTCCCCATTGTTCCCTTTTTCTCCCTCCCAATCTTCTCTTCCCCTTCTTTTGGTCAAACTGTGCCCTTCGTCCAGGGAGCTTCAGGTTTGGACGGCAGGCCTGGGCCATCGGTGAGTGTCACTTCTCCATCACCCCTCACCCCACCCCACCCCACACTTGGCCTGTGATCCCTTTTGTCTGTCCCACTTGGCCTCGTTTTCCCAGTGAGTCATGCCTTGTCCCACCTCCGACACCAGAAAGGTGCCATCGAGGCTCTGAAGTGCCTTTTTGGGCCTCTTGGCCAAATATGACTGGCCTTCATCTTAATGCCCCTGTCCACAGAATACACCCAGGGACCTCAAATCTGCCAGGTGTGGGTGGGAGGCCACTGCAGCAGCACTGCTCCTGATTCCAAAGGAATGCTGAGTCCAGCCTGGGTGCCCAGCCCTGGGGCTTTGAGTCATGGCCTCTCCCCAGCAAACACACCAGTGTCTGTGTGTGCCCGTCATGCTGTGTTGTCGTTATGCTGTGAGCTCTGTCCACCTCCTGTCTTCCCATGGGGCTCCCTAGTCTTGTGCAGCCACCAGTTGGGTGTGTGGAGGGTGGGACAGCTTTGAAAGGTGAGGACAGGAGTAGCCTGTAGGAGCACAGAAGCCAGTCCCGGCTCTGTGTCTTACACACATTCTAACCACCCTTGCACTGCCTTGACACCTCAGCCACCCTGCAACTCAGCAAGGGGGTTCATTACAGAGCAAGTGAGGCACACTTGGGTCCTCTCCTCCTCTGTTCTTTCTGATTCCAGAAAACAGGCATCATTGACTCTTAACTAGAAAGCACATGGCCCTTCTGCTTCTGACTAACAACTGAAGCATCAGAGAAAACATCCCTCCTGTCCACCTTCTGGTCCCTGACCCCGCTGTGAGGTCAACCTTCCCAAAGTGTTCAGCTCACTCGTCCTCAAGTCTCAAGTCCCTGAGCTATCATGAAAGCTCTGTGTGCCCAGCCCCTTCCAGCCAGGGAAGCCCTGCTCCACCCTTCAGAGTGTTTTCAAGGCTGCATCTGCCCAAGGCCTCCATGAAGATGGCGTTCTAGTGAGCTGGCTGGAGCCACCCTCAGGGGAGGCGATGCCTTGCCAGGGTTCATGTGTGGAGCATAGGGGACACGCTGAAGCAAGGCTCATGGGTCTTCCCAGGGGGCCCGGGGCACAGAAACTGGCACCAACAGAAGCCCAGAGCTTTTAGAGGTAGGAGGGTCAAGAGTGACCCCTGTGAGAGCTGTGTCCTACTATAAATGCCCATTCTGTGCCCTCATAAATAGGAGGTGGCATGGCTTGCCCAAGACGACAGCCTTCTTCAAAGCCCCCCACCTCCCTGCACTGTTGGAGTTCACACCCTAAACCCTTACGTGCAGAGAACATGCCCCGGCTGCCAGGCATGATCATGGCTCTGCTCCTTCGCCACAGTCCCTTCCTCTCCATCCTCCCCCACCTAGTGCACCTGTCTCGGGTGCCTGGGCGGGGCTCAGGGATGATCTGTGGCTTTAATTGCAGAAACCAAGACTTCCCTCTCAATGGCTTCTCCCATTTATGTCAGAAAAGCAACACAAATTCATATACTCTGTCTCTTTGGAACTGAGGCTTTATTTTCCTCATAAAATCAGTATCCTAACTTTAACGGAAAATGGGGTGGCAGGGGAATAAGCCTGCCCTGCCAATATTAACATTTACTGGGCACTTCCTACAGGTCAGGCTCAGCACCAAATGCTAGCCATGCATTCATGCATGGAAACCTGCATTCATGCAAGGAGGCAGACATGAGTGGCACAGACGGAGAAACTGACACTCGGCAAGGCTAAGGAGCTTCTCCAATACCCAGGAGTTTGTAGGCCTCTGAGGCAAGGCCAGCCAGGTGACTCTGCAGCCCTGTGCCAAACCATTGGCCCGAGCTGACTCCTTTTTTTCTTTTTCTTTTTGAGACAATCTCACTGTGTCACCCAGGCTGGAGTGCAGTGGTGCAATCTCTGCTCACTGAAACCTCTACTGCTGGGGTTCAAGTGATTCTCCTGCCTCAGCCTTCCAAGTAGCTGGGATTACAGGTGTCTGCCACCATGCCCAGCTAATTTTTGTATTTTTAGTAGAGACAGGGCTTCACCATGTTGGCCAGACTGGTCTTGAACTCCTGACCTCGGCCTCCCAAAGTGCTGGGATTACAGGCGTGAGCCACCGCATGTGGCCTCCTTTTTATTTCTGCTGTGCTCTTACAGATGCGCACAGCCTGCCTTCCTCCCTCATGGTGGCTAAGGGAGCCCTGAGGACTCCTTACTCCCCCCTTTGTCTTATGTGAAGTAAGTCATGCCCCGCCTTTCACAGCTACATTCAGAGCACCAGAAACTGCCCACAGCTCAGCCCCACTCCTCCTGTCTTCATCTGAGGCTGACAATAGGAGACACTGAACTAGAAACTTGGTCTGGCCAGGCTGTGAACTGGGAACCTGGGAAGATGTTGGATAAGGCCAGAGCAAGCCCTGATGCTTCGTGTCTGGGCTAGCAGAGCTCATGACACGCCTCCCTGCCCGGCCAGTGTCAGTGCAGACATCGAGGCATCCTAATTCCCCCTCGATCCAGTTGGTTTCACAGGCCTGCTAGTGGGGTGAGGAGACCCCAACCAGAGGCTGAGGCCAGGGCTGTGGGTCTGCGGTAGGAGGGTGGGGTGGGCGTTGGCTGAACGACCCTCTCTCGCCTGCCCCTGTGTGTGCGTTCGCATCCATCTCTGTGGCATGATGACCCTCCCGCTGCATGTGGAGCTGCAACAGCAAAGAGAGTGCCAGCCCCTGGCCCCTGCCCTGGGATGGGTCCACTCCCTCCCAAGTGCTTCTGGGAGCAAAACTAAGCAATCATTCTCCCACCGTTTTCAGCCTTGGCAAGCTTGGTTGTGAAGCAAAAGGGTTTCAGTCCATGAATCTGGCTCTGAGACATGGGGAGGTGCTGTCTCCCCAACAGGCCCTGAACCCAAACAGGATCACAGCCCAGTTGAATGACTGCTCTGAATGAGCCTGGCCTCGCCAACCCTGAAAACTGGGCCTGGGACCTTGCTCATCTCCAGGTGTCGGGCGGGGCACCCAGGGCTCCCCAGCGTGTGAGGACCTCACCTCTGCTTTCCTTTCCCTCCCCAGGGTACTCCAGGACCAATTGGAGTTCCAGGCCCAGCAGGACCAAAGGGCGAGAGGGTGAGTGTCAGTGAGCCAGGGGCAGCCTGGAGGCAGGGGCAGGCCTGGGACCCCCAACACCAGGGGTCTCAGCCCTCATGCCTTCCTTCTTCTGTCTCTTCTCCTGGTCATCCTCAAGGCAGCCTGGGATGGGGGGGTGGTTGTGTAACTATGAGTGGACAGAGACTTGGAGGGATCAAAGAGACAGAGAGGTGGGACACATTGGCTCACACCTGGAATTCCAGCACACCTGGAATTCCAGCACGCCAGGGTGAGAGGATCACTGGCACTCAGGAGTCTGAGACCAGCCTGGACAACATAGTGAGACTCCGACTCTACAAAAAAGCATTTTTTAATTAGCCAGGCATAGTGTGCACCTCTAGTCCTAGCTATTTGGGAGGCTGAGGCAGGAGAATCAGTTGAGCTGGGAAGTTGAGGCTGCAGTGACTGTACTACTGCACTCCAGCCTGGGAGACAGAGCAAGACCTCGTCTCTATTTTAAGAAAAAAAAAAAAGGAGGGAAAGGAAAGAAAGGAATTAGAGAGCTTCCTCTACTTAAGTTTCTGGTCACTTTGTATCCTTCTCAGGTTCACCCTGGCAAGGCCCTGGGTGCCATTGTCACTGGACATGCCTAAAGTTTTTAATTATTTAGGGAAACAGCATGGAACAGAGGGCCAGGTTGTATTTAGACAACTGCTGGAGGACAGCAAGAAGTCAGGAGGCCAGAGCCATAGGCCAGCCTCCCACAGTCGCTGTCCAAGGATGTTGGCCATGTCCGTGTCACAGGACAGCCTTGTCCTGCTGGAATGGGCATGTCCGAGGGTGAGGGTGGAGGGTGTTGGCTGAGTGGAGGCAGGGGAGCTGCGTGTCTTTCCATATTGGCTCTTCCCAGCCAGCCCCTGGCTTCTACACACTCAGGGCTCAGAGGTCCCTGCGTGGGCATCCATCGAGTTCTCTGCCTGCGTGGACAGCTCCCTGTGCTCTCCATCTGCCCACCTGCTGGCTCTGTCTCAGGTGGGGAGGGTGGAAGCTTCTGCAGAGGTGCAGGCTTCTCTGTAACCACCAGCTTGGGGGAAACCAGAAGGCTGCTCTGAGGGGTGATCTTTGAGGCTCTGGAGCAGAAAGTAAAGCTTTTTCTCTCCTCCTGCCTTCCTGCTCTGCTTTCTTCTTCCCTGCTTCTGCCTCAGGCTAGCCAGGCCCAGGACACCATGGGTCATTCTGGTGGGGATTGGGGAATAGGGTCTACTGGAGGGAGAGTGAGGGGGGCTTCTGAGCCCCCTCCCCAGGGCAGTGTTCGCCTCAGCAGCACCCACCTTTCCCATAGCCCTTGCTTCCTGGAGGGCTCTTGAGGGGACTGGAGAGGTCTCCTGTGTTTCATACCAAAGCAGAAAATGGCAAGGAAAGTTGTTACCACGTCTGGGAGGATTCATGCATTTCTTTCTCCCATTTTAGGGCAGCAAAGGAGACCCTGGGATGACAGGACCAACGGGAGCAGCTGGGCTTCCTGTGAGTCTCTTGGGATCAGAGTTTCCTCTCCGCACATCCCTGCCCCCATTAGAAACACCCAGGGCCTGCAGCACAATTCTAGGGCCCAGGGAGAACTCTCATTTCTGTGACAGAGGAAGCTGCCAAGAGGCAACGGGTGATGGGCTAGAACGTCCTGCCAGGCACTGCACTGTGAGGGCACCAGGGCCTCTGCCATGCGGACCCTGTGATGGGATGAGAGCCCCTCCCACTGTGTTAAGTGCAGCCTGACCTCAGCCGTGAGTGTGCCGTGGCCCCTGCCCTCAGGAGGGGCAGAATCGAATTCAGACCGCTGTGATAGGAGGAGAGGCTCCATGAGTGGAGCAGCTTCCCAGGGGAGCTGGGCCTTGCAGGGGAGACCTGGCTTTCCATGGCAGCATCCTTTGTTACAGAAATTGGGTGTCTGCTTGCAAGAGCCCACACTTTAGTTTCCCATCCACTGGAGGCTGTGTGTGTTGGCCAGTCTTGCCTCATGCTAAATTCCCCTAGCTAAAATATTGAAAAGAGGGTCTAGCAAGAGCCTGGCAGGAGAGCCCTGGGGACTCCCCTCTGCTAAGAGCACTCCTTGCCCTGGCAAGCGCATCCTCGGAACTCACCCATCACCTGCGGTAGTGACCGCAGGAGAACCCAGCCACAGGCCAGGACCTGGCCTGCAGAGGCGAGGAAACTAGAGCTGTCTTCTTGGCTTTGCCCAGAATTCTTCATTCGCCTCTAGGTCAAGGTTTCAGAGGGGTTTGCTTCTCCATCCCGCTTCCGTATAATGGGAATAATTGAACCTGTCTCTGAGGAGTGAGGCACCGGGGAGTTTTATGAGCCTGGAAGGCAGCACTGCAGAGTGCCCTGTGTTTCTGCACTGACATGCCTTTGTTCCTCTGATCTCTCGCAGGGTTTACATGGACCACCTGGGGACAAGGGAAACCGGGTGAGTTTGAGACTCCGCACTCGGGCTCCAGTTACTAATGTCTTCATGATGGGGTAGAATGATCAATCGGTGATTCCTGACCAACATGGCAAACAGTTTTGCCTGATAAACCATCCTAAATTGAAAGGCTTTACAAGGAGGGCCTTAACCTGTGGTTTGCAGGGAGCCTGGGGCCTAATCCTCGAATGGAACCATGTATTTTTCCACACCACGAGGAGGGACTGAGTCCCACGGCTGCCACCAGCTTAGCATTGCCATCCAGCTACAAGAGCCATGTGTCCAGCTCTTCTAGGTTGCCCTGATAATGGGCCCCTAAATGATCATTTTTGATCCATTGCTACCTTGTCCTCGCCTTCTTAAACTTAGTTTTGCCAGGCATTCCAGGCCACTAGTGAGAGAGAAAATAAATTCCAGCTCTAAGAACAAGCAGACAGCTATTGGAAGCTGCTAACCCTTTTTAAAAGAATATTACAGCCAGTATTTCTCTTGGAAACAGTTGGCAGGGCTCTGAAAGGACTTGCACCTTCTCAGGCCCTTGCCGTCCCTTTGGTTTCTGCCATCTTCACCAGGACACACTTACCACATGCCCACAGCACCCACAGCCATGTGATGGAGTGCGACACCTGCCACGGACTTCAGCATGTGGGGCCAACAGGGAGAATTTAATTACATCTGACCAAGAGATGGCCTTTGGATTCCCCTTGAGGGTCTCATCTGCTGCCCCATCATGGGGCTCTGTGGAGTGGGGGCACACACCCTAGAAGCCAAATGTGTCTTCTGGCAGGTCATAAAATCCAAGGCACTTAGTGGAGAAGAAATGGAAGGAACAGATGGAGAAACAGGGCCCAGACAATGATTACATGTCCTGGGTTCCCATGGAGAGTTAGAGGCAGAGCACAAGGTCTCCAGAACCCAGGTGTCGTGGCTGATCTTTGCACACTGATACCATGTTCATGCACAGAGTGTGCCAGAACGCCTATGCTTCTATCTGGCAAGAGTGAATTCCACTCCCTTCAATTCAAGATCTAGTTACTGAATGTTCCCATTTTCCTAAGTGCTCTTCACCGGCAGCCGGTCGAAAGCAACTCAGTTTGTCCCACATCTTCTGTAAACAAGAGGGAGTGGCAGCGCCACCCCTGGCCATGGCAAGACCAGGTCTGGAAACTGCCAGAATAAACAGACCTGCTTCCCAGTGTTCCAAGGCACGCTGGGAAGGACTTTCCTCAGTGTGGCATCAAAGGATTCAGGCCTCTAAAATCTTTGATCATTCCACCTCTTCATTGGCATACTAACTTCCTTTCAAATGTCATTCTGACGTGTTCTAGTTTTCTTTATTATGTTCAATTAGTATTTTCTAAACCTCCTTCTTAAGACTCTTTCAGTTGGTTTGAGACACTGAGCAGTTTGAAGGCTGCAAAATTGATCCTTCAAGGCACAATGACTGTGTTGCTGGAGAGGTGGAGACAGGACAAGTACCCTTGTCACAGAGGGAGGCGGGGGCTGGTGGCTTTGACACTGCAGGAACTGAGGTTGTCAAGTCATCCACTGAGGCCCCAGGAATCAGTGGAAAAGTATTTCTCGTCCCCCTCCCTTTCCTGATGTTTGACACATTTTCCTCCATCCCATTTACAAATTAGGAATGTGTCACTTAGCAAAAGTCAGCTTCAGAAAACAGTGAGGTGGCACGCACCTTCTTTTGAGCATACCATAAAAAGCCAATGGACTTATTTCCAGAGAGCATGCTTCCAACTGAAGGCGCGGCTTGTTCTCTTCATTCCGGGGATTGGCCTCTCAGGATGTCCGAATGTCCTGGAAGAGTCTCCCCTCAATCTTGCCTCCGCATTCCGACCTTTTTTATTTTTTCTTTGAAACAGTATCTTGCTCTGTTTCCAGGCTGGAGTGCAGTGCCATGATCTCGGCTCACTGCAATCTCTGCCTCCCAGGCTCAAGAGATTCCCCTGCCTCAGCCTCCTGAGTAGCTGGGACCACAAGCCCATGCCACCACTGTACCCTGCCCCCATTCTGACTTTTTTATACCACCAGCCCTGATAGAACTTTGGGGGGAGATGTGAGAGCTTGGTAATGATGCCTCCAAAACAAAGAAAGGCCTGAGAAAGTCAGTGATTGCTCCACCAGGGACAGTTTTGGGGGTTGATAGAGGGGTTATGCCAGAGTATTGACACTTTGATCAAGGCAAAATGCCAGAAGGGCCAAAACAACATTCTGATTAGAAGCTTCATGGTCACCTGTGAAGGGAAAGCTACGGATGTTCAAATCCCCCTGCCCCACCTGGGTTTTGGAGGGTGGCTCCGTATAGGGCAACCCCCAAACTTTGTGCACATCATGCTTCACTTCATGTACCCCATCAGAGATTTGGTTTTTGGTGGCTTTTTTGTTTGTTTTTTTTTGAGACGGAGTCTTGCTCTGTCTCCCAGGCTGGAGTGCAGTGGTATGATCTCCACTCACTGCAATCTCCACCTCCCAGGTTCCAGCGATTCTCCCACCTCAGCCTACTGAGGAGCTGGGATTACAGGTGTGTGCCACCACGCCCAGCTAATCTTTTGTAGCTTTAGTAGAGACAGGGTTTCACCATGTTGGCCAGGCTGGTTTTGAACTCCTGACCTCAAGTGATCCGCCTGCCTCGGCCTCCCAAAGTGCTGGAATTACAGCCAGGAGCTACTGTGCCTGGCCCAGAGATTTGTTTTATCTCACAGTGAACCCAGATACAACCTTAAAAGTGTTCTTCTCCATGTCCCACCAAAGGATGGTCCTAGAGCCTCTTTCCTGTTCATGGAAGGAAGGTCATTGTCATGGGGGGCAAAGGCCCAGAGCCCCAAACCAGGAGCTTTCTAAGCATACACACCAGTGGAAAGAATATCCTGACCTTGTCACTAAGTAGCTTCCCTTCCCCTAAGTAGCTCTATGAATTTGGCCCAGGAGCCACCTTTAGGATCAGTCAAAGGATAAAGGGTGGCATGAATCTGGCAATTTAATCATTAGGAAAATCAGGTGTTACTGTGGGGCTGCCTGCAAACCAGCCAGCTGAAAAGGTCTGCGTGCATGCAGTGAGGCTGCTTCTGTTCTCTGAGATGCCCAACTTTGGGGCAGGGGGTGCACGCATGTGTGTGTGCATGTGTGTCTTGCTTCCTAACTCTGTCTTGCCTTCTCACCTCTCCCACTATCTCTTTTGGCCTCCTCCTTTACTCCTTCTCCCCCATATGTTCATTCCATTATAATAATCCCATGTCCTTCACCCTTTCCCTTCCCCCTCACCAGCTTTCCATTCATCTCCTCCAAAGTCCACCTTCATACATTTACCCATGTTTTTAAGAAGCCTTTGCTCCTTGACTTTATTCACCCCTTTCTCCCTTACCAATTAGGGTTCCCTCTTTGCCAGGGTCTCTTTTGTGTCGCTCTCTGAGGGTGGGAGGCAGGGAGACTGCAGGTGATGCTACTACTCCAGTAGCTTCAAAGGACACCTGATTTGGAGCAATTGCCCAGATTTTTAGAATACAACACCCATAGTATCCATTCCCTGCTGTGACAGTCTGGAACACGCCAACCCTCTGTTACCCCAGGGGTATCCTGGACTTGGGGTTCCCCACTCTGGCAGATTTGCCCATCTTCTTCATTAGTAAACTGCTCAAGACCCACAGAATGAGAGGCCGCACCCTGAGAGAGTTTATCAGATGGCTTCCCCACCCAAATAGCTAGTGGTTTTGCTGGTCTGCACCTTGGGGATGATTTGTGGCATGATGTTCTTACTGGCAGACAAAATTTCAGGCTGATGGAAATATACCTAATATGTGCATACATATGTCATCTTAAACACATGTTCATTTCTAAGTAAGGATTTGCACTTTTAGAAAATTCATTTAGAATAATGCACTGGTTGCAGACAACCTCTGGAATAGAGAAATTTGCATAATTTCCAAAGAAATGAAGGAACACCAAAAATATTCTTTTGTTTGTTTGAAACAGAGTCTCACTCTGTCTCCCAGGCTGGAGTGCAGTGTCGAGATCTCAGCTCACTGCAATCTCTGCCTCCTGGATTCAAGCAATTCTCCTGCCTCAGCCTCCTGAGTAGCTGGGATTACAGGTGCCCATCACCATACCCGGCTAATTTTTGTAATTTTAGTAGATACAGGATTTTGCCATGTTGACCACACTGGTATCAAACTCCTGACCTCAGGTGACCCACCCACCTCAACCTCCCAAAGTGCTGGGATTACAGGCATGAGCCACCGCGCCCAGCCAGAAATATTCTTATCCTCTGCCTTCCTCTAATGAATTTTACCCGGCAGCCTTCCACTGCAGGAACACTGCACGTGACAACCTATGACCCCAACCTTTGGCTCCTATACGAGCTAAAAAGAAATCATAATTATTATCATCATTATGAAGCAGCTATCATTTTCTGTGTACATGCTATGTGCCATTATTAAGCATTTAATGGGCACAAACACCTCAGAATTTTTTTTTCAGGCAGAGTCTTGCTCTATTGCCCAGGCTAGAGTGCAGTGGTGCAATCATTATTCACAGCTTCCTCAAACTCCTGTCCTTGGCTTAAGTAATTTTTCTGCCTCAGACTCCTGAGAAGCTAGGACTACAGGGACATGCCACCACACCTAATTTTTTCATTCTTTGCAAAAATGGGGTCTTGCTTTGTTGTCCAGACTGTCCTTGGACTCCGGGCCTCAAGCAATCCTCCTGCCTTGGCCTCCCAAACTGCTGGGATTACAGACATGAACCACTTTGCCCAGCCTCAGAACAAATTTTTGAGGCAGGTGTTATCGTACCCATTTTACAAGTAAGGAAACAAAGGTTCAAAGTAGCTTCACAAGGTCATGCTGCTGTCAGAACCAACTCTGACTTCAAGCCTTTGTTCTGACCCACATGCTGTTCAGCCTTCAAACGACCCTGGAACGACACAGTTGAAGTCCCCAAGCTTCAACAGGATTAGATAATCCCCCTCCAGAGAGGAGAGGAGCTCCCAGGAAGACTTCCTACGGGCACACTGCACCCCCTTTTTAGGAAACATACATATAAAAATGCAAATGCAAATTCATTAAAGAGGTGATGCTTCATTTTAAAAAAGAATTCCCCACAGCCCTTCTTTAAATGGACTCTGGCACATACAAAATAGAATTCAATTTAGAAAAATGATGTTTACTGCAGCTTTTCAGAAACAAATGAATTCCTTAAACCAACACCTTCACATACAAATAACTGTCTGACAAAGATGAAGCAAGACCAAGATGGAGCAAGATACACATAGAACAGGAGAACCCAGCTGAGAACCAGGGGTCATCCATGAGCCCTGGACACACACACACATATGTGCACAAGGACACACATGTGTGCACATGGACACATGCATACAAACACACGTGTTCATGTGCCCAAGCACATACCAACACACATACATGTGCATGCACGCATGTATATACAAGGACATGCTTGTACACGTACACACATATACACACATGTACACAAGCACATGTGTGCATGTGCTCATACATGCTATGTTTACACACACCCCAGGGCTCCAAGCAAAATCACTTTGCCTCCTAGTAGAATGTTGAAAGGATAGACATTAATTGTGGAAAAAGTTGTCAGCCCATAGCCTTTCAAAAAAGATCCTTGAAGAGAAGGAAGTGGGTCCCTAGCCACTGTGTACCACACAGACCCACCCTGGGCTTAGTATTAGCAAAACTGGCCACCAAAATCTTCCATCCGTGGTTCCCTCCACCTGCAGCTCTGAGCCCTGCTGCCATCCTCCCCTCCCTCTCCCACCCACCTTAGCCAAATTCTCAGGAACCTGGGGAGGGAGAGGAGGTGGGTATTGACTCGAAATCCTATTGGGGAGAATATCCTAATTAAAAGCATCTCTTTTTCCCTCTTTTTCTGTCTCTGACCTTAACACATGAATGTTCCTAAAGTTTTGATGTTGTTGTTTTTTCTCGGACTAAACCATTATTTCCAGGGGGAGAGGGGGAAGAAAGGCTCTAGAGGGCCTAAAGGGGATAAGGGAGACCAAGGAGCGCCTGGATTAGATGCCCCCTGCCCGTTGGTATGTTTTTGTTTATCACTTGTTCTGGTTTTTATCCTTGAGGTTTGCAAGTTGGAAACAAAGAAGGCAAATAAACTGAGAACCAAATGTCTACACCAATGCTACCAGAATCTATCTGTTCCTTTGACTGATGAAATTCTGCCTGCTGTTGGAGTTGCTTTCTAACCACAGCTGCAAGTAATTCTGGCTAAATCCCTTGCCTTTGAATCCTTTTCCTTTGAAGATACAGAACAATTGATGTGTGGAAGTGAAGACACCACTAGGAAAGGGATTTTCAGGGAAGGCCTAAGCTCTTAGCTCAAGGATGGCTTTGGAAGCCAGTGTAGCATTTGTGAGCCATAGATTTGCCTTCTTTGTTTTGTGGCCACCTCTGTGGGCCGGCCATTCAAGCTGTCTGAATCCTCACTCGGTCAGGATGCAGGAACCAGAGTTAGCATCTCCTCAGGGCCACTGATGCTCAAAACTGGGCAGAGCAGGGCTAGATGAGGGGCTTCTGATGCACAGCCTCCCAGTGCTCACCAGCCATCCAGCTAAAACCTTTAAAGCTGCAGACCAGAGTCGGTAGACAGACACCCCACGGGAAGCCTTCTCAAAAGAGCCAACAGTGAATGATCATGCACGTCTGCTGGGCTTCTCCAGTGCCTTTCAACCCATTTGAAGGTTCTAATAACTATGATGTACTAAGTTGAAGTTTGTCTGTGTTTACACCAAGTGAGTCTGTAAAGAGAGGGAGACTAAAGGAGAGGGGGCAGCTTGTCCAGATGCAAAGCTGAACTCTCCAGGGCACAAAGAGAGCACAAAAGCTGGATTTAGGAGATGGGGGATCACCTGGGATTTAGCCCCTGTTTGTAGATGCCTCAAGGGTCCTGCATCCTGGCCAGGGTAGGACTGGGCCTCTCCACTCTATGATTGGAGCTGGCCAGCCTTTACCTGAATAATCATCGTGGTTGGTTTTATGAACAGGGACACCGAGGTTTTAAAGGAGAGAAAGGGGAGCCGGGGTTACCAGGGCTGGACGGACTGGATGCCCCATGCCCATTGGTATGGCATTGCTCTTGCCTGCCTGCATGGCCAGTCTGGGCTTCCCCACGTGTGTGATTCATACCGCCTGCCTCCCCAGCCACCCTCCAAACTCCTTTCCATCCTCCCTGTCTCCATGTCCCACTTGTTCACTCTGTAGACACCAAGGGTCACCCCACACCTTGGCTGGTACTCTGGGGGCTCCCAGCCACGCCACCGTCTTGCATGCGAAGTTTACCCGGATGTTTCCTGGCTTCCTGCTGCAGCTGCTTCTAATGCACATCCACCTGATGTGAGCCAGCCCTCCCACCCTGAAGCTGGCTTTGGCTGCCTCTGATACTCCTCTCCAAACTGATTCTAGACAAAGCTGCCACCAGAGACCTCAGCTAGGAAAATGGGTTCTCTGGACTAGTTCTCAGAACCATGACTTCTTTTCCTTGAGGCAGTGCAGTTAGTTCAGAATGCGCTGGCTGAACATCCAGCAAAACATGTGAATGAGATGCCTGAGTCAGCCCTGTATCCCCTGCCTCTTCCATCACATGATTTGAGGGACAGAACGGCATGATTACCAACAGAATAGACTGAGAAGCTCTGGAAGTGAGGTGAAGGAGGAGCCACCTGCCTATTCTTCCTAGTTGGGTCATGGGCCACTGCCCAGGTGACACCATCAGAACCAGGGAATGGTCTGATGGTCCAGGATTAGGTTTTCAGATCCTAAAGGGTTTGTTCTTTTTGCTTAAATCTCCAAAGACAGTACCAGACCCTTTCTTGTCCCTTTCTTTCATGGTCAAATGGCTTCTTACTGAAGAGTCTGGGAGAGATGAAAAGGTTGAGAATATAGTTGAGGAGGAGGAAGGGAGACAGCTAAGGACCCCTCTTCCAAGCACATCCCAGGCTAACTGGTGGCAGTTTATTCCTGCCTGCCTGGTCCCTCTCTGGCATGGACAGTCTAAGCCTGCAGGCTGATCTTCTTACTGCAAAAGAAGCAGAAGGGAACACTGCTCTCCCCAGATTTCCCTGATAGGTTTGGAGTTCAAGAGTTATTTTATCTTACCAGTAATAAATGAGAATTTGGGGTGTCACATCCCCACCCTGGGGTCACACAAGAATTCTCTCTGACAAAAGAGGATAAGATATAAGAAATTATGCTGCGTGACCCTGAGAGGTGTTTGTAGAGCCCACTGAACGGTGTTAGGGCCTTTTTAGGAGGAGTGCGTGCAACGAAAGTAGAGTGCAGAGCAAGCGGGTAGGTAGCATGCTTCCTGTCCCCGATGGTGCTGCCAGACCCCATGCATGCAGCCTGCACAGCCAGCTTTCTCCACCCAGACTTCTTGAATGCAGCCTGTACGTGCACCTTCCCCACTTGAGACTTCCCGCATGCAGCCGGCACGGGCACCTTTCTCAACCAGGACTTTCTGGTCCCATCAAAGCACCTCCCTTGAGCACCAGCTAGGTCTTCCCTCAGCCACAATCCCCTCCCACAATCCAGGCACCTTTAATTCTGCCAGCAGCTGCCTTGGCCTCTCTGCTCATTACTTTTCATTCTCTGCCTGCCCTGTCCTCCATACCCGCTGCCACCATCCACGTGCCAATGGGAATGCCGCTCAGGCCCGCAGAGGCTCCTCTCCCTCCCAGCATCCATGTGACGTGTGTCGCACCACACCATGGCAGGCTGGGGAAGGGGCCCAGGGTCACCCTGAAACTGTGGAATGCACCACCTCCCCCTGCATTCCCCTCCCCAACCCAGAGGGGAAAATGAAGGTCGCCCTGATTTGACTCTCCATGTAAAATGGCGTTTTCTTCCCTAACATCCCATGTCACTATGCCATTTTTCTATTACTTTTACCGGAGGAGTGTCTTCCCCCTGTTGTTTCTCACTCTGCCTCCTCCTCTGTGTTATTATGGACTTGGGGGACGGGGGTAGCTATTGATGGTGATTTTTAGTACGAGATAACCAGACTTCCTAGGCTATCCATATTGGGACCAATCCCTGCTGAATGCCAGGTGATGAGTGGTTTCAGCTCCTGGCGTGGGTGGATGACGTTAGACCAGGACAGCAGAGGACTCCCATTCCACAAGCTCCCTCAGGACTAAGCACTTGCTCCAGTCTTCTGGAGCCCCGTGGCCATCTCCTTGCTCTGCCTGTCTAGCAGACTTGGACTGAGAACCAGATCTTTACCTTTGGCCCAGCCTCACCTTCTCCACCTGGTCTCTAGATTTCTAGATCCCCCAAAGGGTATGCCAGTGAGGAGGGGAGATGAGGGCCTGAGAAGACTCAGGAAGGTTTCTATCACTGAGGGTGGAACATAAACATCTCCAGGCTAAATGGGCTGCATAGTTGTTAGCAACACAGGAGACTGACAGTGTGCAGTTGATTCCTACACGGCTACCGCATTGCACCCCCAAATTCCCAGCAAAGGCTAAGACTTTGCCAGGAACCATTGTCTTCTTGCCGAAGGCATCTCAGGGCTGCACTGCAATACCCATGAGGCTGCCTGTCCCTTCATGCCCCTCACCCCATCCTAGGGTTGATCATCAGAGAGGGACTGTCTACATGTCCTCCTCCCTCTGCTTAGGAAGAGAGACAAATAAGAGAATGAGAGAGCTGGGAGGGCCCTTAGAGGTCATTTCAAGCAACTGCCCTTGCCCAGGTTTTATGGAGGTGGAAACTGAGGCCCCCTCGTGCTGAGTGGCTTGCCCGTGAGCAGCCAGCACTCCACAGGGCCAGCGCAGAGACTGTTCCTTCATGGCACACAAGGACATCTCTGCTTGCTGGTCCCGCAGGTGAGGACAGCTCCTACTGGCCTTGCACTGTGGCTGCATGTGACCTTAGCCAATGGGAAAACAGCCGAATTTGTCTCCACCTCTTTCTGAGGTTCTGACCTGTAGTAGAGAAAAGAAATAGACAAGAGTGGGTGGGCCACATCCTGATCAGCTGCCAAAATGTGTGTGGCCCTTGTTACCCCTGTCCTGCCCATTTGGTGGACTGTCACAGGTAGTCTGAGCCCTCTGCCTTCCTTTCTCCTTGCAGGGCGAAGACGGCTTACCAGTCCAGGGCTGCTGGAACAAGGTAAGGTTTCCCATCGATTAGCATTGGGGCTCCATTCTCAACAGTGCCATACAGTTCCCACAATTTCCATTCTGCCTTGCTACAGATGAGGCAGCGAGACATAGGTCAAAAAGGCACTGTCTCAAAGGCAGGATGCCCATTAAACATCCCATACACCGCACACTCTTAAAGAACATTTAAAAATGCTTCTTAAGGTATCAGCAGACTCTCTGTGGAATGTCCATGCAGCCACACAGGTGACATCTTTATGCTTTGCGTGTTCAATGTACATAGTGTCTTTCCCCCAAGGAACTTGCCCAAGAAGTTTCAGATCATGTTTTTACCTTAGACATCAATCAGCTACACTCATAGAGTTCCTCTGAGGTCGTTTATGACACATGAGGACGTGTCTTAGATGTAGGACGTCTCAGTTGCTTACACTCTGATCTCACATGCTACTGTGCCTCCCATAGGGGCTGTGCTACTCACCACTCTACCACTCCCCTTGTATTTAAGCTGGTAGAGCTTCATGCCACTACACATGTGACCTGCAGCACAATCTCTCCTGGGCTCCCAGAGTTCCTACCGACAATGAGTTTCCATTGATTCACACTGCCCTTGGCATTTGCCATCATTACATCAGTCTGACAGCACAGGGCTGTGCCGTTGCACGTAATCGCCCCATTCAACCATGGATCCCCAGAGCGCAGGGCTGCCCAGGCTGACAGGGGACATCTGCTTGCTAACTAACCCAGAAGCCCCGCCTTGGTCCCCAGCAATAGTGGCAGCTGCTATGCTGCCCCATGCCGTCTCCCTCCACCTTACCTCTCACTCCAAATCTTCTCACCAAGCCCCCACCACCGTTGTCTCAAGGTTTAGCCTCATTAAGGGGCTGGAGACTCCAACCTGTTCAAGAGTCTGTGCTCAACGAATCCAGTCCTGTTCCAGTGACAGAAGAGTCACACTTACTATGAGATGAACAAGCTCCCCTGTGCTAAGATGCCCAGAATCTCATTAGTGCACTGGGTTGGGTAAAAGCGGTGAAACCACCAAGATCCCAGGCCAATGTTGAACACCTACTTGCCTGGGTACCTAAAGCGCCCCCTAACCCCAGAAGGAAAAGCTCAACACTCAAGAGAGATGCCTCCCCAGAATCTGACCCTGGAGCCTGTCCTCCTCCTCCTACCAAGCTCCACCTAGATCTAGTTAAAACACCACAAAAGCAGGTCAGAGGTGTGTCGAACAAGACCTCCAAACCCTTGCCCCCTAAAAAAAATTCCTCTTTAAGGTTGCTGCCAGTGGTTAGGAGATAGAAATGGTTGAGCTTAGCAGGGGAAGAACAGCCACCACCAAAAGCTGCAATGTCTTGGAGAAGCAACCGGAGACCTTCATGACTATTCATTCACAGCGTAAGTCTAATCTGGGACAATGCAGTCATTACAAGTCAGGCCTCCAAAGCCAGCAGAGAAAGAGAGTGCCCTCTAGTGCCCACAAAGGTGAACAGAGAGGTGAACTTGGTTTCCCGCCCTCAGGAAGCTAAGGTAGCCACCAGTTTCTTCCGCCTAGGGGCTCATGGTTCCCACAGTTCCCCTGTCCAGAGCTCCCATCCAACCCAGTATAGCATTTGCCTCCCTTCCTACAAAGGAAATAAACCTCTGCAGACCCACTGAAACTAACAGAACATTGTTTTTGTTTTTGTTTTGCAGTGATGCCTCTAACCTTGGATTGGCCTGTGTGTGTTTGTACATAGAATATTTATTTTTATACAGTTTTCACTTTTTGAAAATGCCAGAAGTATGATGCCTCTTACAGATTATTAAAAAAGAAAAACCTGCATATTTTGTACAGAAAATACCAACCTCTTCCCTTTTGTTTACAAGATGTTTTGCATAAGTCTATGTCTCTAATACACTTTTTGTTTGTGAGTATGGTCGTAATGTCTGCATGATATTTGTGCACACTTATTAAGTATTGAAGCTTAATAAATTATTGTGTCCTGGTGCCAAAGGGGGCCAGCCAGAACTCAGGTGCTGGCTAGCTCATGTGTGAATTCACACAAATGTAGCGGTCCATGATATTTGCCAAGCTAGGTGTGTCTAAGAATATTTTAAACCCTTGTGGATCTTCATTATTAAAAAAATGAAACATGGCAATTCATGATCCTGATTAATCATTATATTAAATACATTCTCTCCTGTGAAAGCGGGAAGTCCCAGAAGTAGGGTCCTCAGAAGTATGGAGTAAAGTTTTGAAATGTGAAGTTCAACAAAGCGGGGGGGACTCCATCGAGCCATGTGTGCTGTTACAGATCCCGAGTTCATCACAGTGCTTACTGAGTGAGCATTCAGTTGTGCTAAGGGCCCCCAGGGTTTCAAAGGAGCCATTTGCTCTTTTCTGTTGGGTTATGGTGGGTTTTCGTTTGTTTTGCTTTGCTTTGCTTTGAGCTACAATCCCTAGTAGCCGCTATTGCTAATCATGGCCGTTGAGCTGATTATGATTTGTGGGTTCACTCACAACTAGCAGCTGAAGGAGCTTTGCCTCATCTGAGGCTCCACTCCAGCCTGGTATTCACAAAACATGCATAGATCTGGGCATGGGCTGGGCCAATCTGAAGTTGTTTTTATTTTTTTTTAAATAAGGTGGTATTGTTTTCCATATTTAGTAGATTGCTTAGAAAAGGTCTCAGGAAACTGGTTTTAATGACTACTGATGTCTTTCCTATGGTGTAACATACAGGTTTATTATTAGCTGTTTGACAACATGAATTCGTGCTTCTAAAGCTTGAACAGCAGATTACTCCAGTGGTTCACATACATCCCCATCTGGTTTACATTTTACATTTTCTTTATACATCCTTTCTTCTTAGCGCAAGGGGAAATTTAAACCCAGATTCTGTCCACATGCTGTCACACAAAACCCTAAATTAGTGGGCTTCAGTCATTAGACACACCCCTGCCATGTGTGGGGACAAGGCCACACTCGCAACACTCACCGCCCTGAAATAACAGGCAGCTCAGACCCAAAAGGACTATCTCAGCATTCTTACCCCAGACGTCACTAGGTTAGCTTGGGACTTGGACAACTTCCTCCTCTAAGTCTTGGCTTCCTCATTTGAAAAGTGAACCAAGTCTGGGTACAGCTCGACCCTCGTCTCTACAAAAACATTTTTCGAAATTCAGCCAGGTTTGGTGGCACTCGCCTGTAGTCCCAGCTACTCCAGAGGCTGAGGTGGGAGGATTGCTTGAGCCTGGGAGTTTGAGGCTGCAGTGAGCTATGATTGAACACTGCACTCCAGCCTGGGCAACAAAATTTGACCCTGCCTTAAAAAAAAAAAAAAAAAAAAAAACAAGGAAAGAAAAAGAAAAGTGAGGCCGCACAGTAGTGAACAATAGCTGATCTCTGTGGACACAAACAGGGCTCATCCGAACCCAGTGATGCTTCTTGCCCCGGGCCAGTTCTCATGGCCCTGGAGCCCAGGGACTTCTCCAGCAGCCACAGAATACTTTTAGAGGCCACAAAACTATTTTAATTTTCACCTTTCTACATTTAAAAGAAAAAAGTGAATATATAACAATGAATCCAGCCAGGATTGTTTTTGTCTACCAGCACAATTGTAAAATACAATTTTTGACCGGCCTGACCAACATGGAGAAACCCCATCTTTACTAAAAATACAAAATTAGCCAGGCATGGTGGCACATGTCTGTAATTTCAGCTACTCTGGAGGCTGAGGCAGGAGAATTGCTTAAACCCAGGAGGCAGAGGTTGCAGTGAGCCAAGATCACACCATTGCACTCTAGCCTGGGCAACAAGAGCAAAACTCTGTCTCAAAAAATACAGATATAATTTTTTAAATTAAAAAAAATTAACTTTTTATATTTTTTAATGGAGGAAGACAAAACTGCCCAGGAACCCCAAAAGTCATAATGCAGCCCAGCCCCAATTCTCTGCCCCTGAGAATTCAGTCACCCTCACTGCGGGTGTTCCCATCTCCACACTCCTCCCTTTCCAGCTAAGGTCCCGAGCAATCAGGGCATAACCCCGTTCTTCGAATCCGTGGCCTGATTCCCTTTCAGGCTCTGGCCGGGGCAATCACAGCTCACTGATGATCTCAGAACAGAGTAGAGCATTCACTGGAGCCCGGGAAGCGGAGATTCAGTGTTAGGTGAATATCCTGGGTAACTGGGCAGAGAAACCTCTTTTGTTCCTGTCCTAGGGTTATTTATTTACTTAGAACACCTCAGCTACTGCCACGAAGGATTCAAAGTCATAAGATTCTACATAATCAAATAGAAATATGTGTAAAGACAACTTTACAAGTAGAGAGGAGACAGCGGTGGCTGGGAAGCCCAGGGGATGGGCAAAGGTCCTTGCCGTAACTGAGGCGGGTCGCACACATCACTTCATGCCACCTGGTGGTCACAGAAAAAAAAAAAAGGCTTGGCCCTATTTCGGAGCCCACAATGCCTTGCCCAGTGGACTGCAGTCCCCAAGGCTTAGTCCCGCATGTGTAAGCACATCGTCTCCACACATGGTTGTTGCTGCTGTACTGCTCAGCCAGGACCCCACCCTGTTACCAGTCTGCACCCCAATCTCCTGATTGCAGGTCTCTGCCCCCGAGCCTCCCCACTTGAATCTTGGCTGTGTGTCAGATGCAGTAGAAAGAGATGAGAAGTAGGGAGACACATGGTCAAAGCGTTTACACAGTAGCTGGGAGTCCGTACGAACGCCCAGCAGACCAAGACACCCAGGCAAGAAGGAACGATCTGGTGATGGCATGTGAGATGCAGGAGGGACCAGGAAAAGGCCAACCCGAGGGGCAGGTGCCACAGAGGGCTTGCAGAGGAGAGAGGAGAAAGACACGCTCTCTGTTTTGGGGGACTTGTAGCACCTCCTGGTGAGAACTGCCTGCCCAGGGAACCAGAGATGCACTCAGCCCTGCCCACTGAGCATTTGGTGAAAGTTCTTTGCAAATTGCAAGGCGCTGGGTCTTAAGGCTGTTTATCTCCTGAGATTCACTCTCTGGTTCCAGTATATGTGGCTCTGTGCTCTGGCACAGCAAGACACATGTCCAGCATTGTCCACCTGGATACCTGCAAGGACTAGCCAGTACCCCATGGGTGGCAGTGGGACCAGGTCTTCTGGCCCAAATGGTGCCTCTCCCCAAGGCTGAGACTTATGTGGCTATGGTCATGTGGGCTAAGGGAAGCCACACTTTGCTGAGGGAAGAGGAGGCTCCTTCCACACATTCCCACCCCGCCCCATCTTAGCCCCACCCTGTGCTACTCTCCCTTCCCCAGTCCTGCCTTCCCCTGGCAGAATAGGATAGGATGGAGCTGGGGAGGGTTGGCATCAGCCTGTAAGAGGAGGAGGGCACTGGCCAGCAAGTCCAGAGACTCAGCTTCTAGTTCTTTCTCTACCATTACCTCACAATGTGGCCTTGAGCACCTTACTCCAGGTCTGTTTCCCCAAGCGTCAAGTAAAGAAGCTAGACATGGGTGTCCTCCATAAAACTTTCCAGCCCTGACACCCTAAGGCCCTCTGGCCCCATGGGCAGGTCACCTCCTGGGAGGATTGTGGATGCTGAAGCATTCCATGGCCCCCGCCACCTAGAGTTATTTGGCTGTGACAATATTATGCATGGCATTGGTTTTGCAAAACTGTGTGTGGCAGGTGTGTGCTATGTAACCCCGAATAACAAAACTTCGAGTAGACCTGCGCCACCCAGGAGTAGGGTCAGCTTTCCTTAGGGCAAGAATGCTGTAGAGGTTATCACAGAGGTCTTGGCACTGAGGATGTATCAGAGTGAAAGCAATACAGCTCTGACCACCTGGCACATGCGGGAATCCCCAAGCCCCACAAACGTTCAGGGATGCTGCACTGGCATGGGGAGGCCCGCCCGCCTCCCTCCTCTCAAGCCCTCTGTATCCCTCCCATGCACCACCTCACACACTCCCCCCAGCCTGTCTCCCCCCTTGCCCTGGACTTGGACACATTTTCAGCCAGCTTGAGATGTCAAGTCCCCAAGACTCCACATCATTTCAAAAGCAAAGAGCAGGCTTCCTGTGAACCTTCAGAAAAGAGGACACCATACCAAGATGTGGAACCAAGAGGGAAAGCAGGGAAGGAGCAGCTATTCGCCTCTCAAGGGAGCAGAACTCCCAAGGGGTCGCTGAAGCAGGATGCCCCGAACTATGGTGTAGGAAGCGGGAGGATGGTGCAGGGAAGGGAGCCTCATCTTAGCCACTCAGGCAGAATTCACTGCCATCCACATGCAAAATGACCTCTGGCAGCTAGAAAAGCTCAGCTCTGAGAAACAGCCACGCACCTGCAGAAGGAGACTCAGGTGGATATAGAGGGCCACTGCCTCCCTCACCCCCGGGGCCTTCCTCAGTGAGCCCACCTCCTTTCTTGGGTCTGCCACTCACCCAGTGCCCACACTCTGCTGCCCATCCACAGGCTTGCTCGAGCCAGGCCCTTAGCTGGAGATGCCATTGCTTCTTATCTGTCTCCTTTCAAGGCCCAGCTCAGATCCCATGGCCCTGGAGAGCTGGTTCTGGGCTCCTCAGTTGGTAGAGTCTTTCCTCCCTGCAATGCCTGGAACTCAGTGTTCTTTTCTTCCTCCACCTTATGTGAGAGTGTGCAAAGGGGCTCTTCCATATTTGATAGTGAACTGTCAGAGGGCAGGGACTTTCTTACTCACAGGTGCTGGCGGGACCTAGCTCAGTGCCTCCCCTACAATCCAGCCATCGATCCAGGCTCATACACATCTACCATCTCCTGAGTTATCAGCTGGCTTTGCTAAGCACCTGCTGTGGGCAGACACTGTGCTTCCTGCCAGGCTGGAAAGGAGAGGGAAGTGGCCCCTAAGACTGTAAGACCCAGCTCCTCTAGGAGCTTCACCAGAGCACAACCAACAGCAAACCCATCCACCCTCCAGGAGCTTCACCGGAGCCACCAGGAGCACACCCATCAGGGACGGGTATGCTAAGTGCTAAGTGAGGGGTATGGCCAGTGAGGGCAGGGGTGCAGAGGACAGAAGCTCCTGCAGTGGCCAATGTGGACAGAAAGAGCAGAGGACTAAGCCAGCCGGGAGGGACGTTATGAAGCAGACGGAGGAGATGGACCTGCACACAGGCAGTCCCCATTCTGGGCTC